AAATGGGCGGCGGCCGCCGCCTTTTTTGGCAACTAAGAATAGGTTGCTTACGTACCCTGGGGTAGTCATAGGGATCTCTAAGATGGCCTGTTTGTGCGCCAATTCCGAAACCTCCTTGGTTACAAGGGAGGCGTCTTGGTGGGAAAACATCATTCCCCGTGGCAGGGAGAGTTGTATCGGGAGGGATATGAAGTCTAAGGTGTACCCTCTTACCGTGTTCAGTACCCAGGCATCTGATGAGATGTGTGACCATGCATGGGAAAAATGTCGGAGTCTGCCCCCCACTGCCCATAGGGAAGAAGGAAACAGGAGAGCACTTACCATAAGGTCGTCTGCCTGGGCGGGAGCCACGTGGTCCACGAGCCACCCATGGTCGCCCACGTTGTGGGAAGAAAACCGGGGTGTTGCGGTGCTCCGTGAAGGAGGCATGTCCAGTGTAGGAGCCTTGGCTCTGTCAGAACGAACCCCTATTGACACGGCCGGACAGACGGCTCCTGGCTCTTCCGGCCCCACCAAAAATCTTAGGTTGGAAAATCTTGCGCATGTTCGATTGCGCCTTGTCTAGGGCAGTGAAAGTATGGACAAAGGAGCCAAGCTCCTTGACAAAGTTGTCTCCGAACAGGAGGCCACGGGCCTGGGCGCCCGGTTCGGTTATAGCCATGTTCACCAGTTTTGGTTCTATCTTTAATAAGATCGCTTTGCGACGCTCTGTGGCCACTGCACAGTTGGCATTGCCAATCAGACAAATCACCCTCTGTATCCAACCACTTATGGCGGAATGATCTAACTCTTGGTCACTTTCGACCATATCAAAATTTTTTGTTGCCGGGCCCAATATGTCTAATATCTTGTCCTGGCAATTGCGCAGGGAGAAATCAAGGCCCTTATTAGGCTTCCAGCCAGTCTTGCCCAAGAATTGAATGATTTTTGGGTCAACTGCAGGTATTCTGCAGGCCTCGTCAGGGACAGTGGGACGTGGGCATTCTGCCTGCAGTTTGCTACGTGTTACCTTATTTAAAGGTTTGCGAGTCCGCGATGCCACGTATTTGGCCACATGGGCCGAAGGTGACCAGTCCGCTGACCTTGGATGACGCAGGTCATCGGGGTCGAACAGAGGTTCCCCGTAGGGGTCAACTAATCTGGTGGCATCGTCTGGGACTTTAAGCTCCATGTCATACGACTCAGATGGAGGCGTAATATGTGCACTCGGGTCATGGTCGTCGACCACACCCTCTGATTGGGGATCTGATGGATCCTCCAAATCCATATCAGTCTCCTCTTCAATCTCGCTGAGATCTGACTCAGATTCTAGTTGGGCTTTTGCCCGCTTCCATAACCTAGCCGATTTTGCCCGGCTAGTGGCTCTTTTGCGCGGTGGTATATTAGGCGTGCCATCTGTGACAGGTGTGTAGCTGTCCATCTGTGAGATTGAAGAGTGTTTAGTTTTTGCAGTGGCCTTGCGGCCAGTGTGAGGTTGTGAAGGGGGTATTGCAGGCAAAGCCTGGGTAGTGACCGGTTGGGTCGACTTTTGTGCCCCAAGTATAGCGTGAGTAATAGTCTGTGATAGATATTCAGACATCAGTCCCATTGCTGATGTGAGGGCCTTAGTCACCACATGGGACATGGTGTTGTCAATCATAAACTGCATATCAGCAGTAGGGTCAAAATCAGCGGGGATAGTTGCCCCAATCTCAGGTACCCCTGTGGGTGTTTTAACAGACCCCAAATTATTGATAAGAGACCCAGGGGAGGGTACATATTTGTCCCCAGGCATATTATGTATAACACTGGCCCTTAAATAAATGAACTGAGCTGACCTAAATGGGTTGAGTAACCCAAAGAGAAAAGGGGGAATGCACCTTTAATAGAAAAAATCGAAGTACTCACAAAACAATCACAAGCAAATGAGACAAGTGAGGAGGGGGCAAGGAGCCGTCCGACCGCCACTGTAGCTGCAACCCAACTCCGAGGACCGGTAGTTGGGGGTGGAGCTACGTGCCGTGCGCGGGAAAACCAGAAAAATGGCCGCCGCGAGCGGTACAGGGGAGCAGAAACTTGGTAAGCCCTGCTCGCGGAGAAATGTGTAACGCTCAGCGCGCACAAGCACGCCGCGAGCAGGGAGCTGGCAGCTCTTCAGTTGGCGGCCGGTCACGGCAGAGGGGGAGGGGGGGAAGGAGGGCGCGAAGCGCCGGGTGCGGCTCCAGCCGACGTCCCCGAGCCCCTGCAAATTAGGATCTGAGGGGCGATCGGCTGGAGCGGGGTAATCTTAAAGGGGGCGCAGGGTCAGAAATTCAGCAAACTATCATAGTAAAGAAGGCATCAAAGAAGGATGTCCTATCAAAATAACGGAATATAACACTAATAGCACAATAAGGAAAGGCAATAAAATGTATATCACAACACAATAATACAATATAATACAATAAAGTAATATATAAAGTAAGATATAAGCAATATATAATAAAGTAATAAAGTAATACAATATAAAATTAATCCCACAGTTAAGGAGCCTGAGGGATCAGATATACTTAACTGAGGGAGCAGCAAAGAAAGAGGAACAGGATTGGTTGACAGAGCCTATTATGCTGGAGAAGTGGATCCTGATTGGCTGTTCCTGTTACTAGGAAGATTACACCTGAGACTGTTAATGTTATTATTGGTTATGTTTATAAAGTTTTTTCTTTGCTGCTGAGGGAAATAAAGAAAGAGAGCAGCATAATAGGAGCCTCCGTGTCTTAATAAAATCAAAGCAAACCTCAAGTAAGGATGTATAATCATTTAGACACAGAGGGCATAAGGAAAGAAAAAAAAGTGCGTTTTAACAGGATGTTGGGAGGGATCTGTCATGATGATGCCAGAAGGGGGTATACCGAGTTGTCAAGATAATGTTAGGCCTCTGATGTGAAGAGGGAGACAAGAAGGATTTTAGTAAGACCTCCTAAAAAAGTGATATGCCTGCTAACATGGTGACAACAGGGGAGCGAGTGGGACAGTTGATATATGTATCTGAACCACTCTCTTTTAACCCCTTAAGGACACATGACGGATATATTCCTTCATTATTCCTTTTTATTCGAGAAGTTGTGTCCTTAAGGGGTTAAGTCACCATCTTTTTGGATTAGTTGGAATTTAAAAGCTGCTGAGGAGTTATTGCAGCTAGAGCCTTTACCTGTTGATGTGTTAAAATGTATAATAGTTGCCTTACAGTTAGAAGTTAAGGAATGACCCTCCATATTTGCACAACTCTACACCACCCTAAAATATCCAGTCCAATCCTGTACTATTCATTCAGCTAGCTTTAGAATATCAGAACTCCAAATGATGTATCTGCCAGTGAGCAGTGGTGTCCCAGATATGGATACGTTCAATAAGTTATACAGTTACTCTATATTTGGGTTTGTATTTATGTCATTGGCTAGTGGCTAGACTGACAGGACATCTGTTCCTGCAGAATGTTTTAGGTATGCATATTTACATTCAGCTAATGACAGCAGCTCTATATATCATGACATAATTTTAAAAAGCAGAGAAATCAATTTTGTATTTTATAAATGAAAAGGCAATCATTTGTCTAAATCCCATATAATGTCGAATTAGCATATTCTCTGGGGAATCAGCATAAGTCATAGTGAGCTGGCACCAGTTTATTTTTGGAATATGAGCATTCCTATGTGTTAACTGCACATGTACATAGCTGTAAAACTAAAAGAAATTCATAAGCCACTGGGGAATTAACTTACTGCTCTAGACAAGCGCGTATAGCAAGCACAAGTAATGCACCTATGGACATTCTGGCAATGCCACCACAAAATGCTATATGGGTACCATTCTACTTCCATCTGGAATTTTTTTTTTTTTTTTTAATCTTTATTTTTGTTGTGTAAATCACAATAACATGCAAGCAGACGATGCCACATTGGCACAGGTTAGCACGTGCGATTTTACATACCGTAATTGGCCATTGTCTTGGCATGCATATCACTTACACACTTTTTTTGTGATGGGAAGAAATATAATCAGTCGTGGAAATGGTGACAGTAGAGTCATAGTTCTAACAGACAATGCAGTGAGAGAGAGGTCTAAAATACCATCTTAAAATTTTAACCTGTCCAAAATTTTTAGGATATCCATGTTATCTTTCCAAGTGTAAGGTGCATTCAGCCGAAAGGGAGGAGAGGAGGAGGATCGGAGGAGGAGAGCTCCCCGCCCAGCGCTGGAAAAAGGTAAGTTTTTACCCCTTTCCTCTCCCCAGAGCTGGGCGGGAGGGGGTCCCTGAGGGTGGGGGCACCCTCAGGGCACTATAGTGCCAGGAAAACGAGTATGTTTTCCTGGCACTATAGTGGTCCTTTAAATTGTTTTTGCAAACTAATGTCATTCTCTAAGGTGTTTAAGTGTAACGGATATAAGCCTAAAAAAGGTTTTCATACAGACATTGTACAGCGCTACGGAATTTGCTGGTGCTATATAAATAATAAAATAACAATAATATGTAATGCATGGCACTTAAGAGGTTAAATAACCTTTTCTATCTTCCAAAAGCAGCAATTGTTCACTAGTGCAAATTGTATTGGGGTTTTATAATAGATAATAATTAAAAAAATATATGCAGATTATTGTTTTGTGCAAACGTACTATTTTCCAGCATTTTAACACCTACATCCTTCTCACCCAGTGTTGTAACATAAAGATAACATACAGTCTAGTACTTTTAATAGATATACTGACATAATAAAACACACACTGTAACTTAAAGCAAGGCTCCCTGTTAATAAAAGTGTCACTAGGTGCCAGCTACTTCCCACACACATGGTGTATATATAAAACTTGTCTTGCTTCATAACAACCTGCTCTCAGCCAATCATAACTCCGCTCTGATACACTCCTGTGCAGGCGACAGCTGTGTGCTGAAAGGCAATTGGTGGTTTCCTCCCCAGTCAGTGATTGGCTGGGGGTGTCTACCTGGGCGGGGCTGGAGGCAGTCCAGGCTTGTTTGCGAGTAGCAGCTGTCAGCTCCAGTCAGCAGATAGACGGACAGGGCTGCAAGCAGAGAGACAGTGAGACCTACTGGCTTCCCTTAGTGGGCAGCTAGAGACCCCCTGCACTGGTCACTATGGTAACCTGCCTATCTGCCAGCATCAGGAAGTGCCCTGGACTTGGGTTGTTTTGAGAAAAGTCTCTCCATTACCTGTCCACATGATCAGAGCTGCTCTCCCATTGGCCAGCGCTGGTGTGCACTCAGGTTTCCTGTGAGCTGATTGGCTGCCTTCTTGTGATCACGACTATTTGCATGCATGCCTTTCTCACAGTGTGGGTGACAGGTAGCATTGGATCACTTGCAAGCTGCAGAGTGGTCAGAATTGTTGCTTTATCTATTGCTGGCTTTTATATAATGCCAACATATTCCGCAGCGCTGTACAATTGGGACGATTTGACTTTACAAGATTAGGCATCCTCTGTACAGGATTACTGTGACCATAACTGATTGCAAGGCCTGGCTAAAGCGTGGGTTGTGAAAGGCGGTGCTTTTTCTTTCTTTTTTTTTTTTTTTTAATATTTTTAAGTGGTGGTCAGGGACCGTAAGATTCAACTATCAGAGCTGATGTCCTCATTTTGGCTGTATTCGAACAAATTGCCAGAACTCTGGTGCTTGTGGAGTGCCGCACGTTGTGTATTGTTCGAAATACCTGTGCTATGAAGTATTTGTTGGTATAGACGTAAGACGTGTTGGCTCTGGGGTTCTGACCCCCCTCCCTTTTTGCTCATGCCAATATGGGTGAGGACATTAAAATGGGGATTGTGTTTGAAAATGAAGGTAAAAATGGTTACGGTGAAGGAGAGACGGTAACCGGACAGGTGCTACTGGAACTGACGAAGGCTATTAGAGTATTACGTTTACGTGTACAGGCCCATGGCGGAGCCTATGTTTCCTTTAAATCTGGAAGAGGAGTGGAAACAGCCCAAGAACCGCCAACCTCAGAGCTCACTGAGTATCTGAATGAGGAGTGCACTTTACTGACTGAAATGGCAGGTGAGGTGCCTATATGAGCATTGTTAGTTGCTTGTTAATAATCTTACATGATCCTCTATGTTGTGAAATCAGAGTAATGAGTACTTGTCACGTTTCATTTTATGTTGAGAATTTAAAGGGACTTTCTACTCGCCACAACAACTTTAGCGTAACAAAGCGGTATTGGTGTATAGATCTACTCTGCAGTCTCACTGCTTGATTCTCTGCCATTAAGGTGTTAAATCACTTTGTTTATAAAGCCCTTGCACAACTCTCTGCATGTGACTTACACTGCCTTCCAACACGTCTTGAATAAAATTATAGAAGGTTTCAACTTCCTTTATTGCACAATCGAATTTAGAATTTCTCCTCTCATGCTCTGTTAATAGCATGCTAGACCCTATAGGACACTCTGGTGTGTGCTTAAAGTTCAATTAACAGAACATGAGAAAAACAATTTAAAGTAAAAACACAGTGAGTGATTTATTCAAGATGTAAAGTAAATATTCCAAATGGAAAAATTGACTTTTGATGCGTGGGAGCCTGTATAATTTAGCACTTTAGTGAAGTTCTACTGGACAGAACTCTTTATTTTTATTTTGTTTATTCCCTCCTCCAGCCTCTCTTGATGAAAACTCTAAAAGGAAAATGTCAGTGAGCAAAGGTTACTGACCCTCCACTACCCTTAACTCATCAGGTTACCAGTATTCCCAATCAGATTAGACGGCCAACTGTTTTATTTAGAATGTACTAAATGGAAACACAACAGTTCAGGCAATAGTGAAATTAAAGGGCACTCTGAACACCATAACAAGACAGCTTAAAGGGACACTATAGGCATCCAGACCCCTTCATCTCATTGAAGTGGTTGGGGTGCAGTGCATCTGTCCCCTTAACTCTGCAGCTGAAAACCTGGCAGTTTTGGAGAGAATACAATGTTTGCATTGCAGGGTTACAGGAACACTATAGAGTCAAGAGCACAAATGTGTATTAATGACCCTATAGTGTTAAAATAACAATATGGCCCCACTGTGCCCCTCTATATTTAGCAAAAACCTTACATTTGTTCTGCAGCTTCTGACTCTGCCCCGATCTGCCTGGTTGACTGACATCATCAAAAGTGAGTCTTTCAGCCAATCACAATGCTATCCCATTGGATTGGCTGAGACTATCGGGTTAGAGCCAGCCCATGCCAAACTCAGCCTTGGCAAATCCGCATATCCTCATAGAGATGCATTGTATCAATGCAACTCTATAAGGAATGTTCAGGGTCTCCATGGAGAGAAGCACCTCTAGCAGCCATCTTAGGAGTGGCCAGTGGAGGTATCCCTAGGCTGTAATGTAAAAATAGCATTTTCTCTGAAAAGCCAGTGTTTACTGCAAAAAGATAACATAAAGAGGTTATGCCAAGTAACAAACTATGTAAATAGATACTAGAAAAATACTGCAAATATATAAAAAATATGAGTCCAAAAACAGTGATGATAGTTAAATAGCACAATAAAATAGCAGTGAAAAAAAAAGTCCCCACCCTCAGGGTCCCACTCCCGTGGCGCGGAAGGGGTTAATCCCTTACCTTTTTTCCAGCGCCGGGCTCCCTCAGCGCTGGGACTCTCCTCCCTCTTCTGACGTCCCTGGCTGAATGCGCATGCACGCGCATAGAGCCAGTCTCATACGAAAGCATTCTCAATGCTTTCCTATGGACAGCAGCGTCTTCTCACTGTGAAATCACAGTGAGAAGCGCCTCTAGCGGCTGTCCATGAGACAGCCACTAGAGGCTGGATTAACCCATAGGTAAACATAGCAGTTTCTCTGAAACTGCTATGTTTACAGCAAAAAGGGTTAAACCTAGCTGGACATGGCACCCAGACCACTTCATTAAGCTGAAGTGATCTGGGTGCCTATAGTGGTCCTTTAAGAACAAGGGCTGTTTTTACATTTCTCAGTGTTTGTGTTTAGCTGTAATTGTCCTCTTACTCGTTTATTGTACCCCCACATTATTTTTATAGGGACATTGTGACACTGTTAACTGTCATAAATCTCTGAATCACACTAGGGATCGACCGATTATTGGCCGATATTCTGTTTTTTCAGCAATATCGGTATCTGCTAATAAAGATACCGATAATGCAGACCACGGCTGCCATCAGGGACCTGGGGGCCCTGGGGCGCCAAGCACACACTTACCTTCCCTGTCTAAATCTCGCGAGTCCCGCGTCCATCAGAGCGTTGCCAAGACAGTGGAGCAGCTGGGAATGTAAATTAGAGTGTTCTGGGCCCCCAGGACCGCCGTGAGACCCCCAGGGAATGTCATATTTCCTCTCCCCTCCCCCCCTCCCTGGCCAGGTAAGAAGCAGGGAGGAGAGAATAAAACTAAATGTAAATAAAATAAATATTTTTTTTTAAATAAGTTAAAGGGACACTATAGTGTGAGGAAAACCCCTCCCGTGGTGCTGAAGGGGTTAAAACCCTTCAGTAGCTCACCTAATTCCAGCGCCAGGCTCCCTTACCTCTCCTCACCCACCGACGGCAGCATCCTCGTCCGACGTCACAGGAGCCGAATGCACATGCGCGGCATTCAAAGTGTCCGTAGGAAAGCATTTTTCAATGCTTTCCTACGGACGCTCTGCATGATTGAGGCATAATATGCCTCAATCATTGCAGATGCGCCTCTAGTGGCTGTCTGAAAGACAGCCACTAGAGGCTGGCTTAACCCCAAATGTAAACATAGTAATTTCTCTGAAACTGCTATGTTTGCATCTGAAGGGTTAAAATTTGAGGGACCTGGCACCCAGACCACTTAATTGAGCTGAAGTTGTCTGGGTGACTATAGTGTCCCTTTAACAAAATAAAAATGACCCCTTACCATTTTACACACATTACATACCTACACAAACACTCACTGCACAAATACACACTGCATTCATTATATACACACACTGCACAAATGCACACTGCATTCATTATATACACACACACTGCATTCACTATACATCCACTACACAAACACACACACTGCATTCACTAATCAGATACACTGCATCCACTACACACACACACACACATTCTTGAAAACATAAAGAATTCTGACTGGCATGTATATTTTGTGCATTTACCTTACTAAAAAAAGATTTGCAAAAAAATAAATAATTAACATGTTCAGTTAACAGTAGATTTGTGTAGAAATAGTTTATTTTTTTCAAAATGGTAAATGTACATGGTATCGGTAAGTTATCGACTATCTGCCTAAAAGTTCACAGGTTATCGCTATCGGCTCTGAAAAATCAATATTGGTCGATCCCTAAATCACACCTCACATGTACATATTTTTTTAAAGTAGAATATCCAGGGTATTCAATATGGCGTATGTCCAGTCTTTTTTAGTAGCCACTAATTTAGCATTTATATTTCTTTGTGTAAAAAAAAAAAAAAAAAATGCAAAAAACAATTATGAATGCTAACTTTGGCCAGTGTTTGTGACTAAGTGGCTACTAAAAAAGACTGAACATACCCCATTTGCCATAGCTTGGGTTGTCTTCTTTTGCAAATGGCATGCCATCATGGGGGTAATTCTCATTCCAGGGCTACCATACGCTCTCAAAGGCAACATAACCAATCTGGTAAATTTCAATGTCAAAAAACTTAAAATCAAGCCTTATTTTTGACCCAGTAACTTTCAAAAACACTATAATACCTGTACATGGGGGTTACTGTTATACTCAGGAGACTTCGCTGAACACAAATGTTAGTGTTTCAAAACAGTAAAACATGTCACAACAATTATATAATCAGTGAAAGTGCTGTTTGTGTGTGAAAAATGCAAAAAATTTCACTTTCACTGACTATCATCGCTGTGATCTGTTTTACTGTTTTGAAACCCTAATATTTGTGTTCAGATATCAAAATGCACTTAGAACAAAAGTGTGTGTGTGTGTGTGTGTGTGTGTATATATATATATATATATATATAATTATATCTCTTAAAGAAAGATAGCACTCCAAGGACTTTGTAATAAAGTTGAAAAAAACTTAGCTTTTATTCAGGCAACTGCCACAGTGGATCAGCGTTTCAGTTCTGTATCAGAACTTTCGTTATAATAAAGGTGCAAAACAAATAACCAGTTTTAAATAACAAACCATTCTAATTAATTACATTGTATACAGATGTCACTTACCCTTTGCCCCGTTTAATTGTCCAAGCTGATGGCAGAAAATCACGGGTGAATTTGGCCCGTTTTCAGAATATTCATCAGTTGTACTGTGAGCTACTGTGACCTGTATGCGTTCCAGCAGTTACTGTGGAGATCGGCTGGAACGCAAGAGGGCATGGGGATTGTTTGAGGGTTGTCATAGCAACCCAAAGCGGCTGAGAATGCCGGCGATCGCTCACCAAATATAGAGGGTGCAGAGGGATCAGTGTTGAAGAAATGTCACAAAAAACACACATGATAATTACATAAAGATATATACATATTTCTACCCTGATGTTTGACTGTTAGGAGGTATCAACTCCCTTCGTACACTTAGATCTTGCATCTGGCTTAAAAGACAATTTGTCTCAAATTGGTAGACAGGTGTATGTATGAAATGTGTGGGATAGGTATATAACCCTCTGATCCCACGATCAGAAGATAGAAATATAGATATATGTGGATGTAGATATCCTGGAAGTCTTTAACTAGCTTATAAATTCTAAAGTAGCTTGTATCTCAATCTGAGTACAGGAGCTACCAATCACATAATAGGCTCTAAAGTTAGTACTGTTCTATATTAAAATAGTTGTAATAGGTCTGGTATGGATACAGATTGTATACTTAATATGTATTATTCCAACTAGTACCCACAGGGTTAAATGTCTAAACCAATGTAAATGTACTAGCCCAAATGATAACCCCTTGTGTTCTGGGACTTAAAGGGACAAGATAGTCTCCTGAACAACTTCAGCTTAATGAGGTTGTTCAGGCGAGAACTATGGCTCCCTGTAGCCTTTCTCATGTAAACACTGTATTTTCTGAGAACACACGGTGTTTACATTGAAAGCTAGGAACACCTCCAGTTGCAGTCACTCAGAATGAACCAGAGGGACTTCGGAGTTGATGGAGGCATAATATGCCTCCATCCACTCAGATCTGCTGTCAGCAGAGCACAGGGCAGCACTGTGCACAGCATCCTGTGATTCAGTATCTCCTCCCTCTGCATGCAGACATTGAACTTTCCTCATAGATTCATTGATTCAATTCATCTCTATGAGGAGGTGCTGATTGGCCAGGGATGTGTTTGAATCATGCTGGCTCTGCCCCTTTGTCAGTCTCAGCCAATCTTATGGGGAAGCACTGTGATTGGATCAGGCTACCACATATCAGCAGACTGCTTGTTTTTCTGAGTATAACAGCATGCAGATTTACAGCTTTAGGCTTGAATAAAGTAAGATTTTTACTATATTTATGGAGGCATGAGGGGCCCAGGGGGGCTAGATGGTGGTGTTAACACTATAGGGTCAGGAATACATGTTTGTGTTCCTGACCCTATAGTGATCCATTAACTTGTACCCAGTTGTTTTGGTGAGTGTAAATAGAAATATATGTACCAGATGGATAAGTTGCCAGTATGCCAAATAAATATGCAATGTAGGACTAGTAAATACTTATGGTCCTATAGTTAAACAGGCTATTTATAAATATGTACAATCAATAGTAAGTATTAATATCAACACATGCATCAATATGTTTAGAAGCATGCTCAAATATATATTCTGATTTCATATATAGAAGGCGAATGCCTGAAGTTGTGGGAAGGATTTAAAGCCTATATAACCCTGTAAACCCCTTGCTTACCTGTCTTCGGAAATTCCCCTTCCGGGTTGCACAGACCTCTGATGTCATTTCCGCCCCGACACAAGTATGCGATACACAGCGTTCGGCAAGTTCTAGTTTCAATCGTAAGTAGTTTTGGCAATACAAAGGTTTCACTAAAGTACCAATTCGCCAGTTCCACTCACATACACTACTGGCATTTCATTCGTATGGGGCATACTGAGTTATAAATTCAGGCAAACATACTAATAACGTTTCGGCTCAAACCGATCGGGAAAATCATTCGTATATACTATTTCGTTAAAAGCCTATTCATATGTCACCACTGTTCGCATATCTAATTTTCTTGAATACTGGAACATGAGTTTATATTCATGTACTTTGTTCGGCTAATCATTCGTATTAAAGTCACATTTCGTGTAATACATGGGATACAGCAAGCAATGTTAAGCATTTTGGCACCAATAATTCACAGGAATTTACAGGTTAATCTAGGTCTATGTTAATTACAAATTCGCAATTCTGTTATTTTGTTTCATTGATACTAAGATGTTAAGTCATGGAATTTACCTTTGAAATCACTCTCCTTTCAATTCTAGGGATAACTTTCGGAATACATTACTTTCAAATACGCTGAATTACATAATTACGTTTCGGTTAGTAATAATTATTTTCTTTAAGACTCTATTTCACTCCTCTCTTCTACATTCCTAAACTAGTAGACTCAGCAAACTCAATCGTCTTTAATGTAGGCATAATTTAGCCACAAACATTATACGTTAATAAGTTTAACTTAAACAAATTTCTGGTAATAAACGGATAATTTAATACTACAAATTAATTTAATCTATATACGGACCTGCCAGAGTTATAAACTAACAAAACTGCTACCTATATATATTTTTTTTTCTCTTCTTTCTCTTCCTCCTGCGTCCATTCTCCGCAAATTGGGGCATCAGCCTAGATAAAACCGCTTGGCTAAAACAGTCATAAATAGCTCCTTAGATCATCTCAAGTACTTGTCACAAATTCACGTACAGGTAAGGATAACGAGCATCTTAAACAATACGTTCAGTCTTGCTTTTATTCTCCCTCCCAGTTTAGACATGGCTGGCTGTCAGGGTCTTAGGAGCCCAATAGCGGTAGTCTCCTTCCGGCTTCTTCGCCTTAGGTTAGTGGTCCCGCGAGGCCAACACCCATCTTCAATTTGGAGGTACTACGCCCCTCGGGCCAAATCATAGTTAGCCGCCTCTCATGTGGTATAGAGAGGGCCTCACCTGTCACGCCCATTCTATCTTATGCTTACTACTCACCGAGAGGCCAACACCATGCCACAAAGCTCGGTGGCCACGAAATCCCCTTGCGCCAACTCATAGGTAGAGCCTCTCAAGCCGCTTGGCACCTAGCAGGACCTCACCAGTCACCAACCTAGTGTAATTGCTTCGCCGCGGAACGGCACTAGCTAGTCAGCCAGCACACAAATTTTCCTAACCTGAACGTTTCCTCTCACGCCCATAGCATGTCTAACGCTTCAGTACGAGATGCCGAGCTATCACTTGCCAGCACCCCGTCAAGGTCTAACGCTCAGCCAAGACAGTCCAGTATGACACCCAGCTACAGATCCTGGACTGTTCCAAAAATCACAGCCGAACTGAATAGAAGAAACATTCCCTTTATGGCTACAGCCAGGAAAGCTGAACTTTTCCGTTTACCAAGCACCCAAAACGCTGATGAAACACCGGGCCCTAGTTCTGAATGTACAAAACAATTTGGCAGAACTACAGAGTATGATGACCTCTTTGGTTGCTTCTGTAGCTACTATAAACAACAGGTTAGAAAACCTGGAAGCCACTAGTCAAACTAGCATTCCAGAAGTACAAAGGATAACTTGAAACAAGATCAGGAGGTAACTCCACTCCTATTCCTGCCAAAAGAACGAATATTATTAACCCAGTACATCTGATTCCACAAAATCTAAAATGTGACATACTAGAAGGGAAAGATGTTAATCTAGCTTCCCTCCTCACAGGATATAATCGAAAATAGGTCTTACAACTTCGACGATATATCCATGTTACTGAAATCTAGAGATCCTAGGCTTAATAATAAGCTAAATATTCCTGAATTTGTGCTAGCTTTTGGGTTATATAGGGATGTAATTTGCTCTTCCTTCCCACACCGTAGAGAAGAGCTGGATCTATATCTGCACAAGCTGGTGGAACTAGCTTACAAATACGGCGGTTACGCCTTCTACGACTACCATAAGTCCTTTTCGGCCAGATCAGCCACGTCACTGGCTCAGTATAACACTCCTACCGACTGGAGTCAGTTGGACACAGAATTATTCTGTAGACATTTCGCGGGGCTTAAAACACCAGCATGTGCAATATGTTCTTCAGCCTCTCATACAGCAAATTTTTGTCCTAGTAATATAGATGGTCCGTCTACTAGTAACACCAATTCAGACTATCTTGCTAACACAACTCAGAGGGAAGGGAAAGACAAGTTAGGGAGGCCTATAGTGTTTCTTGGGAAAGCACAAGTTTGTAATAACTTTAATGCTGCGGGTTGTAGTTATAGCGCTTGTAGACTGCTCCACTTTTGTTCAATCTTTTTTAGAGCACACGCAAAAACTATGTGTCCAAACAAACTGTTCCCTAAGAAATCAATGACTTCAATAAACGTACCCAATGTACAACATTACTTGACTGAACATCCTTCTTCACAGCTGGTTGACTTTCTCATCTCTGGTTTCACTAGAGGCTTTCACACCGGTTTAGTAGCACTCCCTTCAGGCATACTAGAATGCCACAACCTACAGTCTGCGATAACAGGTCCAGCCAGTCTAAAAGATCTTCTCAACAAAGAAGTAGAATACGGTTTTATGATAGGACCCTTCACCACACCACCATTCACTTCTTGGAGAACAAGCCCACTAGGTATAGCCACGGGCAAATTTAATAACAAAAAGAGGTTAATAATCGATTTCTCAGCTCCTCACTCCTCCACCTCCCCAAGTTTGAATTCCCTTATACCTTCAGAAGACTTCTCACTACAATATGCTAAAATAGACGACGCCATACAAGCAGTTGTCAATTTTGGTAAAGCAGCCTGGTTAAGCAAAACGGATATCACAAATGCTTTCAAACTTCTACCAATTAAACAGTCACTATGGCGTTAAGTGGGAAGAGAAATACTATTTTGCGACTAGGCTGACCTTCGGCTCCAAAAGCAGCCCAAATATTTTCGACATATTCGCAGAAACCTTGAATTGGCTACTACTTAACAAATCCAGGTGCCCAGTAGTAATCCACTACCTCGATGATTTTCTTTATGTTGAGCCTCACCACTACACACCACACAGTCTGAAAAATGCACTCTCCCTATTTAAGGAATTAGGAGTCCCGGTAGCACCAAATAAGACCGAAGGTCCCAGTACAGAAATAACCTTCCTAGGTATCACACTCAATTCTGTAACTATGCAAGCTAGCCTTCCTAAAGTCAAAGTAGACAGGATCTTAACTCACATTCACACCTGCACCAATCACGGGTCCTGCACCAGGAAAAAACTACAGTCACTTTTGGGTTCTTTTAACTTCGCCATGAGAATTATTCCTCGAGGCAGGGCTTTCATCTCTAGGTTACTTTCTCTTCTACATGGCCTCCCTGACGACGACAGTAAGATTGATCTAGACTATCCTGTAAGGGCTGACCTAAAAATGTGGAGTCTGTTTTTATCCTCATGGAATGGTAGGTCATTGTTCATTCCCCCCATCTCTGACGAGTCCCCGGTTATCTGGACACATGCTGCAGCTACCGTCGGGTATTTGGACACGAATGGGTATATGACAGTTGGCCACCCAAAACAGCTACCCTAGAAAACTTTAATAGAACATCAGCACTGTTTGAGATCTTCCCAATAGTAGCAGCAGCACACATTTGGGGAGAAAATTGGAGGGGTAAGGCAGTTAGGTGTTTTTCTGATAACATAGCAGCTTGTAACATAATTAACAAAGGCCGCTGTCCATCCCTGTCAGTTATGAAGCTAGTAAGGAAACTCACATGGTTGGCAGCAAATTTGCAGTTTTACATTTGTTGTATTCATTTTCCAGGCATTTTCAATAACGCAGCTGACGCTTTGTCACGTTTTAATTTACAGGAGTTTTTCAGACTGCACCCTACAGCGAACAAGCAACCCAAAACTCCTCCGCAATTCAAAGACCTAATCATGCATTAAACCAGTTATTAGCTCACAGTAGAATTCTCGCACAGGCAGGGTTGTCAGTAAACTCGAAAAAAGTGTACAATAGGGGATTTGACATGTTTAAAAAATGTGTTTGTGGCTTTAACATCATTTTTCTATAGAAACCATGGTTGCTTTTACAACTTTTTGCCACTTCTCGTTAAAACTAGCCTACAATACCATCAAACTATACTTGACGGGGATACAACATTTCATGCTAATTCTTTATCCAAACAAGACTTCTTTCTTATCCACATACCCCATAAAAAAACATACTAAGAGGTATCCAGAGACTAAAAATCCAAAAATCCCTAAAAAGACTCCCCATAGACAGTAACATCTTTAAAGAAATCTCCAAGTTATTAGATAAAAGTCCTTTTGAACATACCACTAACCTGGTAATTTAATCAGCAGCTTGTTTGGCCCTTTTCGCGTTTCTAAGACCCAAAGAATTTACGGTAGAGAAAATATCTGACATTAACATTTGCCTTAAACAGAAAAACGTAACAAAAGTAAACGATCATTACGTCCTAGCGATCCCCCGCACAAAAACAAACCAAGCAGGCCCCTCAGTGGAGATTAAGTATTTCCCTACCGGTTCGAAATGGTGCCCAGTTCAACTGCTAGATAATTTGATAAAAAATCAGCATATTAGAAATCCAGAACTGCCTCTGTTATCCCTATAAGGAAAGCCACATACTACTAAACAATTCGTGCTATATATACGTTCTTTATTACTCAGACTTGGCCTCATTCCGTATTGGGGCTGCCAATGCAGGCTCAAGTATTCAGGTTACAACACATATCATAAAGAAAATAGGTTGCTGGAAATCTTCTTCATACAATCGGTACATTCCAAACCCAGAGAAAGAAATCAGACTCGCTTTCTATAATATGTCTAAATAATGTTGTTTAGTTGTTGTAATAAATAAACATGTTTAAATACTTTTTGGCCCTCTTTATACTGGCCTAACCTCTCGTCGGTTTCGGCACACCTCAACCGACTTGTGTTTATCAAACTACTCTCACTTTAAGTGTACGCCCCCTTTCATAATCCCTGTGGCGAAACCAGCCTCGCCACGTGTCCTTGGAGGGGGCTGCTTGCCCGCCTCTTGCCTTTGGACTATGGACCAGACTTTATGTGAATGTATTAACCCAGATAGCTATGCCATGTAGCCCATTCGTGTAGTTAAAAACTTTGGCTCCATGGCAATTGAACTGTGTGAATAGGATCTGAGCGCTATTCTGTAGTTTTGTGCGCTCAGATCCCAACTATCTGGGGATATGTGACATGTCTGTGTTTTATGTATAAAATGTGACTTTGTGTATTTTATAATATTTTAATGCTTTGTGCTCACCATGTGCATAATGGAGTCTTGTGTCTGTCCTGGGAGATAATTGAATTACTTCTCAATTCAATCTCCAGGATAGAAGACTCTGAAACTGGTTTGGGCCGGAAAGCCATGCTTCATTTAGTCACAAAGGACTTTCCCTTAACTTTTGAACCCCTGGTCTGATTCGTGCCATTTTTTTAATATGTTGTTCCCCTGAATGGATTGATTATGAAAATGTATGCTTTATGTTTGTGACATGTATATTTTAGAAGTTATAAATATTGTGTAAAACTGTATTCCTCTGCCGGTGATAATGAGATTACCCATTGTGTTCAGTAATCATATCACAGGCAGAGGGGAGAGTTTGTGTGGGAGTGTCTGGGTGTATTGTACGGATTGATTGGTTGTTTTGTAACGCCCTGTGGGCTGTACTATGTTTGTGGATTGGGAATAAAAGAGACTGTATGTGACAGTACAGGGAGTTCCTGTTTTAACCCTCAAAGTGAAGTGTCGTCTCATTATTGGGGGAGGATTTAATTGTATGCTGTTCCAGTTTGACTGCTAGGAGAGTAAACCTATTCGTATGGTTCCTATTCAGCTGTCTACAGCATTCATATGCTTGAGAGGATTCATATGCTTCTCCGGTTCGGTGGTTGTGGTGTCTGCTGCAGTGCTTGGAGTCCTCAGGAAGCACTAGGAGCATCCTTTAACGGAGGTACCCAGTCGGGGTGCCAGGCGATCTGTTACAATCCCGTACACAAAAATATATATATTTTTGTGTACGGCACATTACGAGGATGTAAGGCAATGATAGTAAAAGAAGCAGTAAAAGAAGTAGCAAGTCTGTTGAGGTTAGGCCTGTAAAAGAGGGCAAAATTATTTAGAAGCGATACTCAAAATACATATAAGTTTATTTAAATACAAACATTATTTAGACATATCATGGAAAGCCATTCGTATTTCTTTTTCAGGGTTAGGAATGTACCTATTGTATGCAGATGATTTCCATCTTCCCATGTTTTGTATGATGTATGTAGGTACTTGGTTACCTGAAGCTGCACCAATGCGAAAGGAATGACCCGTGAAAGCGTTTGGGTTATGTCCTAGCCGAAACAATAATGTACGGATGTAATACATAAATTGTTTGGTGGTTAGGGGTTTACCTTGAATAGCTAACAGTGGACAACACGGTTGTGAAGAAATTTGGGACATCAGTAGTTTATCTAAAACTAGGATAGGACACCATTTGGTAGAGGTAGGATAGTATTTAATTTCTATCGGAGGGCCTGTTTGGCTTGTGTGTGTGTGTGTGTGTGTGTGTGTGTATATATATATATATATGTGTGTGTGTGTATATATATATATATATATATATATATATATATATATCAGCACTCTAGGTTTTGTGATGTGTCCTGATGAAAACTCAGAACAGGGGCTGAAACGTTGACCCTTTTGGTTTGACAGAAAATAAAAAGCGACTTTTGGAAGACCTAGAGTGACGGTATTTTTCTATTTTATATACTACATTGTTACTGGGCACCAGGCTGTATTATTCGATATTTAGAGTGCAGGAATTCCAATTTCTAATATATATTTCATATATATATATATATATATATTTTTTTTTTAATATGATCCAACCATTTTGAGATGGGTTCTAGTGTACCGTCAACAGCTGATACAATGGGACGTCCAGGGGGTTTCTCCGGGTGTTTCTGTATCTTAGGGATACTGTATATGATTGGCGTAAGTGTATGTTGTTTGTGTAAAAACTGATATAGTTGGATATCGATGTAGCGTGCCATTGAGAGGTTCTCCTCTATCCTTAGTTAGATTTCTTTAGTGGGATCACATAGTAACGGACGGTATTATGGTCTTGAAGTTCTGCCTGTAGTTCTTCGACATAATATTTGCAGTCCATGACAACAATACCCCCTTCTTTGTTGACTGTATACTAGAACCCATCTGTAACGGCTACCCTGCTGTAGGGGGGATATCTGCCATTGGAGACGTCCTTTTCTAGGCAATCTGCTGTGAAGTAATGGAGTTCTTATTCCCATCCACAATATCCAAGTGTATAATCCGGCAATGCTGTAAAATGAGGCAGAGTAACGGTACCATAAATCCCCTCCAAGAACGAGACGAGGCTACCTTTTGAAGGGTCAAGCAGAACTGATGTTTATTGACAGGGGTCTCCTTTTATGCAATAGTGCCCTCTGAAAGGCTACACCCACATAATTATCACAACAGCCAATTAGATACATGGTTCAACCCCCACGTCTCCTCCCCTCAGATAACATATAATTAAAACAGACACAATTTTAATCACATTCTGGATGTACCCCAAAAACAGGGGGTACACCTTTAAGTCCAGCTCTCACTCAGGGGAACAATATATCCAAATTTCAGCCCATTCGGTTGAGGGATTCAGGAGTTATGGATCTTTGAATTTTTGACCGACCGCACAGGTTTTCTAGCCGAAAAGAGTTCCATAAGTTTTGGCCTTGCGGTCGGTCTCCATTCGTGCATTAAAACGCCACGAACCCCTTGTCATCCTGGTGTTCGCTGGAATCCCTATGCAGGCTTAAACAAACCTACCGAACGGCCGGTCGTTCAGTAGTTCCAGAACGAACTTACGAGCTCCTGGAGGTCTCAGCGGTGTTCGCCTGTTTGCGTATCCGTTTTTTAGTTCCATGCGTTCACAGGCAAACACCGCCGTTCGTGCGTAAGATGGCCGCGAACACGTGTAAAGTCCCGAAATGGCGGCCATCTAACCTGAGCACAAAGGAATTCGTATGAACCATGCGAACGGCTCCACAAGCACTGGGAGGTAAACTATCAATTAACTGTTCCCCTGGGTGGTCTGATGTTCGGTATTTTGGGCTGTGTGTTATAGTAGGAATATTTCCACGAAGACTAGCCATTCGGTTTTTGTTTGACACATCCAGCAGCGTTGTTATTTAAGTCCAGGCAAAAGCATAGGTACAATCATAGTTCTGTTACACCATCTCAAAATGGTTGGATCATATTTTTAAAGGGCCAGTTGAGGAACTTCATACTTGTGTTAAAGGACCACTATAGTGCCAGGAAAACCTACTCGTTTTCCTGGCACTATAGTGCCCTGAGGGTGCCCCCACCCTCAGGGACCCCCTCCCGCCCGGCTCTGGAAAGGGGAAACTGGGTGTAACGGACAGTTTTGCCCAAAAGAGGTTAAACGTTTAGGCGATATTCCCCTTTTTCAGCTGCACTGACAGCTACTGCAAGCACCAATCTCCTGAACTGCATACCCACGAATTCACCAACTCCTGAACTGCATACCAAGGGAATACTCGAAACTCCCGAACTGGAGACACACGAATAGTTGCTAGCAGACGAACAGGAAAAGCCCCCAAGCGGCTTACACTCCTGGCAATCAGTCTCTAACAGCATACAGTAAATCCTCCCCCAATAATGAGACGACACTTCACTTTGAGGGTTAAGCAGGAACTGATTTACTGGGGCTAACTGCCCGGCTTTTATGCAGGTCTCCCATCTGGTGGACACTCCCCTAGGGGACCAAATGGGAGACTGGGACACAAAGGGTAAAAGGACCAATCACAGACTTACACATTTCAACCATCCCACAATGCATCACAATCCCTCCTCTCTGCTCTGGAGATAATTGAGAAGTAATTCAATTATCTCCAAAGACAGAGGCAAAACTCCATTAACCACATGGCAGAAAACAAACAGTAAAAGACATAAAATTACCTACAGTTACATTCAGTACATAAAACATATACGTTCTACATATCCCCAGATAGCTCAGGTCTGAGCGCACATTATTAAGCGAATGGCGCTCAGACCACACGAATACAGTTTAATCGCCATGGAGCCAAAGTCTTTACACAGTCAGTTTCATGCGAATGGGCTCCATGGGATTCCTATCTGGGGCACAACACACTCAAACAAATCTACCGAACACCCGGCAGAAAAGCACGAATAAGTCTTTTCTGCAGGGAAAAAGATGTCTTTTAACATGGGGCCATAGTCCAAAGGCAGCATGCGAGCAACCAGGCTTCTCCAGTGTACAGTGGCGAGGTTGGTTTCGCCACACTTCTCCCCTTTACCAATCAGACTAACAGGGTATCTGACCCCATGCCGGTCAGTGCCCTTGTTAGTCCAGCAGCCCACCCACAAGAACTGGTTACTACACCTGGGTAGAAGAGAACGTTGTCCATGTCCAGGCGCCTCACCATGGCTGTGTGGGTGACTGGTAAGCGTACTGGGTGGGTTGCTGAGTGGGCAGAGACCAGCGGTACTCTGTCCTGGTGCCAGCACTACCACGGGAGTAGTCTGGTTGGAGCCTGGTTGCTGGAGGGGGAGACCGACTGTCTCCCCTTTTGCTAAACAGCCCTGTCGCTGGGGGCAAAACCGACCGTCCCTACCCCCTGTGCTGTAAGTGCAGAGACCACGGTCCCATCTGCACGGCTGTGGGGCTTCTCATCTCCCCTTGGTGGGCTAGGCCGCCGCTGGGAAGTATTCTCCCCTCCTGATAGAATACTCTGCCGCTGGGGAGCCGGACCGGCTGTCTGTACTCCCTGTAGCTTGGGCGCAGAGACGGTCCCATCTGCGCCGGTGGGGAGCTTAATGTTTCTCCTTGGTGGGCTACGCTGCCTCTGTGGAGAGGGGTCAACAAGCTCTTCTCCCTGACACTCTCCCTGCTGGGGGAGAGGGGAACAGACTGTCTCTCCTTTCAATATATTGTCCTGCTGGGGAGGGAGGATGGTACCTTCGGCTCCCTGGGACTCACTTGACTGCTGAGGAGAGGGACCAACTGTCTCCTCTCCTAAGAACACACACGGCCGCTGGGGAGGGAGGACAGCACCTTCAGCTCCCTGGGACACACACTGCTGCTGGGGAGGAAGGACGGCACCTTCCGCTCCCTGGGACACACACTGCCGCTGGGGATGAAGGACGACACCTTCAGCTCCCTGGGACACACACTGCTGCTGGAGAGGAAGGACGACACCTTCCGCTCCCTGGGACACACACTGCCGCTGGGGAGGAAGGACGACACCTTCAGCTCCCTGGGACACACACTACCGCTGTGGAGGAAGGATGACACCTTCAGCTCCCTGGGGGACACACTGCCGCTGGGGAGGAAGGACGACACCTTCAGCTCCCTGGGGGACACACTGCCGCTGGGGAGGAAGGACGGGTCTCTCCCAACCTGTCAACTCACGTGTCTGCCCTGCTCCGACCTGCAGGTACTCTTCTACCTGTCTCCTCACGAACTGCACGTATTTCTCCGGGGGGTTGGGTCCAAAGAAAGCCAGCCGCATGGTAAACTCTGTCATACTGCTCCTGAGTGTAGCTGGGTGCCATGCTTGCGCTGCTGAAGTTGGTTCTTTTGTAGATAGGGTCGCTGTACGGGTACTGGCGTTGCCCTCAATTTGTAATCCAGGAACTGGTGTTGTCTTGTAGCTGTCCTTCTGGGCTGTGGAAATGATCCCGTCGCTTGCCACCAATGTAACGGATCATCTGGCACCCCGACTGGGTACCTCCGTTAAAGGATGCTCCTAGCACTTCCTGAGGACTCCAAGCACTGCAGCAGACACCAAAACCACCGAACTGTAGGAGCATATGAATGCTCTCAAGCATATGAATGTTGTATACAGCCGAATAGGAAAAACCATGCGAATAGGTTTACACTCCTAGCAGTCAAACTGAAACAGCATACAATAAATCCTCCCCCATTAATGAGACGACACTTCACTTTGAGGGTTAAGCAGGAACTGATTTACTGGGGCTAACTGCCTGGCTTTTATGCAGGTCTCCCACCTGGTGGACACTCCCCTAGGGGACCAAATGGGAGACTGGGACACAAAGGGTAAAAGGACCAATCACAAACTTACACATTTCAACCATCCAACAATGCATCACAATCCCTCCTCTCTGCTCTGGAGATAATTGAGAAGTAATTCAATTATCTCCAAAGACAGAGGCAAAACTCCATTAACCACATGGCAGAAAACAAACAGTAAAAGACATAAATTACCTACAGTTACATTCAGTACATAAAACATATACTGTATTTATCGGCGTATAACACGCACTTTTTCTCCCTGAAAATAGGGGAGAAATCGTGGGTGCGTGTTATACGCCGGCCCTTTAAATACTGCAGCCGCCTGAGCGCTCTCTCAAGAGCGCTCAGGCGGCTGCAGTTGGTACTCACCTCCCCTGTAGCGTGGCCGAGCCGCTCTGCCGTCCGCGGTGATAGGAAGGTGCACGCTCAGTGTGCACCTTCCTGTCAGTCCGACCGGGTACAGGAAACAAACTCCTGTTCCGCGCGGAACAGGAGTTTCTGTTTCCTGTACCCGGTCAGACTGACAGGAAGGTGCACACTGAGCGTGCACCTTCCTATCACTCCGGCCGCCACCGCGGACGGCAGAGCGCTCGGCCACGCCAAGGGAGGGGCAAAGAAGGGGAGTGGGGAGTAAGAAAGGGGGTAAGAAGAGGGGGAGGGGGAGTAACAAGGGGGTAAGAGGGGGAGGGGGAAGTAAGAATGGGGGGTAAGAAGAGGGGGAGGGGGAGTAAGAAGGGGGTAAGAGGGGGAAGGGGAAGTAAGAAGAGGGGGAGGGTGGGTAAGAAGTTCTTTATTTGAAATTTAAAGGACCACTCTAGGCACCCAGACCACTTCAGCTTTATGAAGTGGTCTGGGTGCCAGGTCCCTCTAGGACTAACCCTTTTTTTTTATAAACATAGCAGTTTCAGAGAAACTGCTATGTTTATACTGAGGGTTAATCCAGCCTCCAGAGCCTCTAGTGGCTGTCTCATTGACAGTCGCTAGAGGCGCTTGCGTGCTTCTCACTGTGAAAATCACAGTGAGAGCACGCAAGCGTCCATAGGAAAGCATTGTAAATGCTTTCCTATGCGACCGGCTGAATGCGCGCGCGGCTCCTGCCGCGCATGCGCATTCAGCCGATGACGCCGCGAGCAAGGAGGAGAGGAGGAGTACAGCTCCCCGCCCGGCGCTGGAGAAAGGTAAGTGTTTAACCCCTTCCTCTCTCCAGAGCCCGGTGGGAGGGGGACCCTGAGGGTGGGGGCACCCTCAGGGCACTATAGTGCCAGGAAAACGAGTATGTTTTCCTGGCACTATAGTGGTCCTTTAAGTTTTTTTTCCCTGAAATTTTCCTCTTAAAATGAGGTGCGTGTTATACGCCGGTGCGTGTTATACGCCGATAAATACGGTACGTTCTACATATCCCCAGATATCTCAGGTCTGAGCGCACATTATTAAGCGAATGGCGCTCAGACCACACGAATACAGTTTAATCGCCATGGAGCCAAAGTCTTTACACAGTCAGTTTCATGCGAATGGGCTCCATGGGATTCCTATCTGGGGCACAACACACTCAAACAAATCTACCGAACACCCGGCAGAAAAGCACGAATAAGTCTTTTCTGCAGGGAAAAAAGATGTCTTTTAACATGGGGCCATAGTCCAAAGGCAGCATGCGAGCAACCAGGCTTCTCCAGTGTACAGTGGCGAGGTTGGTTTCGCCACACGGGGTAAAACTTACCTTTTTCCAGCGCTGGGCGGGGAGCTCTCCGCCTCCGATCTGCCCCGTCGGCTGAATGCGCACGCGCGGCAATTGCTGCGCGCGCATTCAGCCGGTCACATAAGAAAGCATTGCTGTTTCATTAAGCTGAAGTGGTCTGGGTGCCTAGAGTGGTCCTTTAAGGATACCCAAACATTACTGATGAAAATTTTGAAAGTTCGGTTTGATGCAAGTAAGCCCATCTTAATAACTATGGATGTGGCGAGTCTATACACTGTAATCCCCCACGATGAAGGAGTGGATGCAATGAGGTCAGTCCTCACACAGGCCAAGAATTTTCAAGGCCCTCCCATTGAAATCGTCCTTGAATTACTAATGTTGACACTTCAAAATAATTATTTCCATTTTGAAGATGTGGTTTCTGCAAGTGGCTGGTGTTTCAATGGGGGCAGAGATGGCCTCCATGTACGCAAATTTGTATGCTTATGAAGAGAAGTACATATTGTCTCAGTTTGGACACAACATTGTGGGATACTTCCGCTATATCGACGATTTGCTCATGATATGGACAGAGAGCGAGAGAGAGGGGAAAAAAATCTTTCCAGGGGTGATGGACCGATGCTGGATGTGCCGGGAGGACACAAAAATTACTGCATATCATCTGGGAATGTAGATTTCGATCTCCTTTCTGGAGGAGGGTGTATGACTACAGTAGCTGATGAGGCACTAGAATTTCACCTTGCAGATATGCTCCTGAGCCGTATTAAATTACCCATTTCTAAATAATGAAAACCATATCCAAACATCTGTTAACGGCGGCTTAATAGCTGATCCCTGCCTCTTGGCTACAACAAGGCCCGCCGTCCCATCAGAGTTTGCTGGGTTGAGTGTAAGAGATTCCCCAGATGAAAGAGCGCAGAGCGGTACTTAAGGAGCAGATATGAGGACGAGCAGAGAACATGGCCCTACGTTTTGAGTTCCATCAACTCATTTTGTTGCCTCAAGCACCACTTGGAGTGCACAAGAGAGCTTTTGCATTGCTTCACGACTATTCTGAGTTTGTTTAATTAATCTTTCCATCTCCCTCAACTGTCTCATGTGAACCTGCCTCCCCTTTAACTGTAGTTATTTTAGATTTTTTTTCCCCTCCTTAAGCCTGCCACCACTGAGCTTTTTTTGTCTACATATTCTCTCTTATCTTTTTTTGAATTCAATCTACTCCATAATGCCGTTTCTGCACTGCCTATTTACACGTAATACATTAACTTCTCAGCATATTGCACAGTGTCTAACGGATAGACAGAATAACTGTTACCCGGGGAAAACTATAAGCTGATAGGCCCTATCTCAACTTTTCGTTTTATGTTCCAATATTGGTTTCTGTTTGGGGTTATTCAACCAAGACGTAACCTTGTTTCCACTGATTATTTCAAATACATATGTATGTACATATTGATATGTAACCACCTTCATAGTGACATGTTTTGTTTACACCATATTGAAATGAAAGTGTCATTGTTATTTCAAAATGCCACTGCCACAAATTATTGTATGTGACAAAAAAACTTTTAACGTTTGTAAAAAAAATAATAATAATTATCCTTACATTTTATAAATTAGAAGAAAATGCATTTCTTGGTGAATTCCCCCATCTAAATGCAGTACTTCATAGAAACATAAAATGTGATGGCAGATAAGAAACATTAGGCCCATCAAGTTTGCCCAATTTTCTAAATACTTTCATTAGTCTCTTATATATTAGTCTCTTATTATTATTATTATTATTATTATTATTATTATTATTATTATTATTATTATTATTATTATTTTATTATGTATATAGCGCCATCAGGTTCCGTAGCGTTGTACAAAGGGTGGACTAACAGACATTTAATTGTAACCAGACAACTCGACATACAGTAACAGAGAGGTGGCGGGCCCTGCTCAATGAGCTTACATTCTAGAGGGAGTGGGGTATAGTGACATAAAGGGTAAAAGTAGGGGTACGAAATAAGATGTTAGAAAAGTGTTCGCTGAGGGCTTAATAGGTAATTTTTGACAGTTGCAGGGGAGGAGTCATGAAGGGTGGGGGATGAAAACCTGCTAACAGTTTAATTGATATGCTTTCTTGTCTCTTACATCTAGGATAGCCTTATGCCTATCCTACACATGCTTGAAGGGACACTATAGTCACCAGAACAACTACAGCTTATTGCATTTGTTCTGGTGAGTAGAATCATTACCTTCAGTCTTTTTGCTGTAAAAACTGTATTTTCAGAGAAAAAGCAGTGTTTACATTACAACCTAGTGATAACTTCACTGGCCACTCCTCAGATGGCTGTTAGAGATCCTTCCTGGGTCATGGCTGCCTAAAATGCATCCAAACATTCAGTGTCTCCACCCTCTGCACGCAGACACTGAACTTTCCTCATAGAGATTCATTGATTCGATTCATCTCTATGAGGAGATGCTGATTGGCCAGGGCTGTGTTTTGAATTGTGATGGCTCTGCCCCTGATCTGCCTCCTTCAGTCTCAGCCAATCCTACGGGGAGCATTGTGATTGGATCAGGCCACCACGTCTGCTGATGTCAGCATGCAGTGGGCAGGTCTAAAGGAAACAGGGACAAAGTATGCAGCTCCAGACTTGAATACAAGTAAGATTTTACTATATTTTCGGAGGCAAAGGGGGCTGGATGGTGGTTTTAACCCTATAGGGTCAGGAATACATGTTTGTGTTCCTGACCCTACAGTACTCCTTTAAACTCCTTAATGAAGGTGAATATAGAAAATATGAAGATCATGTCTCAACTAGGGTGTATGGACCAGGCTCTGCCAGCATCCCAAATGAGTACCATGCAAAATCAAGATTGTCCAGCACAAACATTTGCCTTATAATCCTTTATTTTAAGATGTCACACAAAAAGTTGTTTCGAACTGCCTAGCCTTTGTCAGACCAGGTGAGTCAAAGCATTTCCTTTTTGTTTGGCACCTTAAAGGATCAGAAGGCAAAGGTTTTTGCTGGACAATTTTTTTATTTATTGCATGTAGGTGATACATGAAAATCCGTCTGACAGGCTCTGATGTTTCTATTCTTTACGTCAGCAGAAGTGGCTGAGACTGTATCAGAGACAACATATCTCTTTGAAGTGCGTCATAGATCTCTGAAAATAGTCTTAAACTCTGTTTTTCAGTGTGCTACCATTAGGATAACATGATTATTCAAGTTAATAGATTTAACCATTAAGGACCAAACTTCTGGAATATAAGGGAATCATGACATGTCACACATGTCATGTGTCCTAAAGGGGTTAAAAACCGTAGTGATAACAAAATTTGTAGTGTCAACTGTTAAGCTCTAAGGTGCATTAGCAAAAAAGTATTCCTTAGCATGTATGATACAGCTCCTTATTTATTGTGCAGCGGTTAGATGAATGATAGGAGTAGTAAGGATGGTGCCTGGCTTTGGGGTTTAAGAAACATTGTGCAGCACTGGCACAGGAAGCACCTCTAGCAGCCATATGAGGAAATGCCATTGGAGGTAATCCTAGGCTGTAATGTAAATACTGCATTCTCTGAAAAGACAGTGTTTACTGCAAGCATGTCAAACATGCGGCCCAAAGTGAACATATTTGCGGCCTGCCTGCCCTGGGGCAGCTTTCAGCTGTTCCTGCGACCAGCAAGACAGGAAAAATATTTCCTGATTCTTGCTCTCGTGGCCAAAGAGGGCAAAGTGGCTGTGTGTCTGCTTAGCAGACCAGAGCAGCCACTCCCCCTTTCCCTCCTGCTCGCAGTGCCAGAGGAGCGTCTGGCCTGCTTCAGCAGAGCTGGAACTGGAGGACGGACAGCAATTTGTAAGGTAGGAGAAGAGGGGCTTGGGGGAGGGGAGGCGGTGTATTAATTTGAATGAGGGAGAGGGCACTGTATGTATTTGGGAGAGGGAGAGGGCACTGTATTAATTTGGGGGAGGGAGGTGGGCACTGTATTAATTTGAGGGTGGGAGGGGGACCAGTGTATTAATTTGGGGGAGGGAGGTGACCAGTGTGTTAAATTGGAGGGAGGGCAGTTCAGAGTGGTGGTGGTGGGGGGAGAGTCAGTGTATTAACCTGGGGGATGGAGGGGCCAGTGTATTAATTTGGGGAGTGGTGGCAGTGTATTAATCTGGGGAACTCAGAGGGCCATTGTATTAAATTGGGAAAAGGGGCAGTGTATTTGAGGGAGGAAGGGTGCCAGTGTATTAGAGAGGTGGGGGGCAGTGTTTTAAATTGGGGGAGGGAGGGCAGTGTATTAAAGTGGAGTGGGGCCAGTCTATTCAATTAGAGTGGAGGGAGGAGGGGCAGTATATTAGATTGGGTGAAGGAGGCAGTGTGTTGGCTTTGGGGGCAATGTATTGGATTTGTGGGCAGTGTATTAGAGTGGATGGCGGGGCAGTGTGTTAGATTGGATCTGCATGGAGGCACTGAACACCCCCCACGGAGATGTTGATTGGCCGTGCAGTGTTTTGCCACACATGCACTATAGCTTCCCAGTGCTCTCCTATGGGAAAGCATTGGATTGGCTGAGATCATAAAGTTTGATATCAGCCAAAGTGAAGAACAAACTCCTAGAACTTCAAAATCAACAAGATAATGTAATTTGTTTTTTACAGCTGTACAAAAGCATACATTCACCATTTCAGTCCCATTACCAAACTTTTCTTAATTTGTCAAGGTAGTTGGATTGAAACGTTGTTTATATGCAAATGCATTTCTTAAAATAAATTCATTCTTTTGTTTATTTTGAAGCCCTACGAGCACGAGGACGTCCAGTGTCAGTTAGGCAACTTTTTTTATATACTTTACTTTTCTAAATAAACCTACGTTTCTATGGAAACTGAAGTTTGTTTATTTTTTGCGGCCCATATAAACGTAAAACTTGTTTATTTGGCCTGGCTTAGCCTTTGAGTTTGATGTGCTTGATTTACTGCAAAAAGCCTGAAGGGAATGGTTATATTTACCAGAACAAATACAATAAGCTGTAGTTGTTCTGGTGACTATAGTGTCCCTTTAAACTAACTGTTTAGGTGGCAGACCCCCTTTAAAAATGTATTTGACTACCTTTCTACCAGCGCCATGTGGGTCTGCTGGTGCTGGCCCCGCCACCACATCTGCCTTCTTGGCCCACATCATCAGAATTGATGATCTCAGTCAATCACAATGCTTTCTCATAGGAAATTATAAGAGGATCTCAGCGAAGGAGGCAAGTCGCCCTGGCCAATCCACATCTCCTCATAGAGGTGCATTGAATCAATTGTTATCAATTATTATTATAGATATGTTATAAGCAGGACATGGTTATAATGCAAAGAGCTTTGAATGTGAATTAAAATGCTGTATAAATATTGGCAAAAGCACTTAAGTTGGTTGGTGCCCTTAACTTGTGGCTATGGTGCTCTGAGTGCCCTGGGCCACACACTTCTCCCATTGTATGTATTTGCTAAATTTTAGATTTCTTACCTGGGGTCCATTATGCGCCACTCGCCATCTCCACAACCTCTTGCTGACAAGCTTCCATTTGCTCTCCTCCTCAGACGTCGAACGTCTTTCTCTCTTTCTAGGTAGTGGAGACAGAGTTCAGAACCCAAAGAATCTCTGGTAAGAAGTTCAACAGTGTGCTCTAGTGGTTATGGCGCTTGGAGTGTTCCTTTAACTCTGAAATACAGATTGAAGAGAGAACTTGGAAGGCACGGAGGGTGAGGCGTGCCTCCATTGGCAATCTGTCATCACGTTTTGCATGCTGATGATAAACGTCAACTATGCACAGAATTGACATTAGCCATTCCGGAACTCTGGTTCCGGGCAGGTTAATGATACACTAATGAGACTGCAGATGTGGAATCACACTACCTAGCACAGGAGTGAAACAAAGTGAGACCTTCTAGGAACTCTTTAAGAATGTTTACAAAACATTATTTTTAGTTTTTGTAATGGCTTACCCTTGAATACACCTGCATAATTCTTAAAGAGACACTATAATCAGTGGTGCATCCTGGTTTTGTGCTACCCTAGGCAGGACAAAACTCAGGTGCCCCCCTTCCCCCCCGCCCCGCCTTCTAAATACATACATACACATTCACTGACCGATACGCATACACTAGCTAAAGGAAACACACACTAACAGACACACACAGACACTCACTAACAGACGCACACTCACTCACACACACTAACAGACACACACACACACTCACTCACTCACATTAACACTTTTTTTTATTTAACCCCCCCCAGCCTCCTTACCTTTGGGGTTCCCTCTCTCTCTGGGGGTCCAGTGGCTGCTGGGCGGGCTGGCGAGGGAGCACTTCCTCTGAGCTCTCTGCTCAGCTCCCTCGTGCGCCGCAGAGTGGAAAATGACGTCCTATTCCGGCTCCCAGCCACACTCTGCGACGCGCGAGGGAGCTGCGCAGAGAGCTCAGAGGAAGTGCTTCCTCGCCGCCCGCCCAACCCAGACCAGCCTGTCAGTTAGGCACAACAAGACATTTGCCCTGGGCATTTGGGGGAAGCTTTTTTTGCCGCCCACAGCAAATGCCTTGTTAGCCTCGCGGCTAAAACGTCCCTGATTATAGTCACCAGAAGAAATACATCTTGATGTAGTGGTTCTGGTGTCTATAGCCTGTCCATGCAGTAGGCATTTTAATATAAACACTGCCTTTTCAGAGAAAAGATAGATCTAGTTACACTATATTTTTTTCACTACAGCAGCATGTTTACTTTAGGACTTGCAGGGGGTGTTGGTGTCCGTTCCATCAAAGCTGTGCATTCTCTGTAGTGATCCGGGGCTGGAGTGATGTCATGTCCCGCCATCACTTAACTGCAAGCGAGGGGGTAGAGAGGAACTGCAAGAAGAGTACTGCTCCCTCATTTGCAGCCTGCTTGCTTCCTCAACCGTCCTGCTCCAATGTTCCCAATGGCGGCCGGCTTAGCTAAAGTGCTGACAAACCCCAGGTGCCAGGGTAAAATTCTTAATCGCCATGGCGACCTGGTCCTTGGAATTTGTCGAGCCCTGATTTAATCCCTTTAACGAAGACACTTTTGAGAATGCAACATGCTAATGGCCAAGCCCTTTTTTGATACATTTGTCATGCTTTCATTCTACTACAATTTCCTCCTTTCTGTTTAAGTGCACCTATACATATTATATGTATTTTTTTTTTTTTTTTTACAGGAGAAATAAGGTTTTCTAACTAGGCCTGATTGTTAAAATGCCCAATATTTTCGGTTTCAATTAACTTTTAGAAGTTATGCAAATATTGCATGGAGTAAATTACAGTTGTAATGCTAAACCTTTGCAAAATTTGGCATGCTGAGATTCTCCCCCCCCACATAAGTTTTCTTTTAAAGAACTTCACAGACTATACATATCCCACTACTTTAAACAGACCATATTTGTATTTTACTACTGGTCTTGAGTACAAAGTCATACATGTTTACATCTTCCCCTATTCCAGCCCTTAATCCCCCTCCTATTCCTACCTTATAGGGATTCCCTCTGCTGATGCCAGAGGGATTTCACATCTTGCACAGTACAGAATGTTCTGTTAACACTTTGTACTGTGTGCTTGCAGCCTATGAGCTGGTAGACTGGCATGCAAGGAGACCTACCCAGTGTCTTTTCAGACCCCGATTGTCTTCCTCATACTGGGGCAGACTCAAAATCACCCTCACACTCTGCAACGGTATTTAAATTAATTTAAAGGGCCATGTGCAACTCTAACAGATGAGCTATGCAGCACTCAAAGTGAGTCTGAAGCCACCAATTGTGGGCATAGCTGATAGAGGGAACCCTCAGATGTCCAAGGATAACTCCTTGGTGCCAACAGGAATGTAAAACTTTTGATGCAGTCTGTGCCATCGGGCATTAAAGCCTTGCACTACATGACGACATAGACTGCCATGCGTCTGTTAGTACACATATTAAACTGTTTTATATTAGTAATTGTCCATAACATGTTCTATTATGTCCCTTGTCCACAATGCTTCCTTGTCCAAAACTGTGGTGGATCATCTTGGCTGCACAAAGAGTGTTCTATAGCTAAGAAAACCTGATTTTAGGCATTTAATCAGTGTTTTTTTATTTATTGGTTTGCTGTTCTTCACATTCAAAATATGCATTATGTAATCTAAACATTTAATTTAAGTTTCAAAAATTTCTAAAACACTTGTGCAATATCAGCCACAGTTGGCTATTTCTCTATACTAACAGCATAAGTTATGCTATAAGGAAACTTGCAATTCACAAATCTTTGCTTGTTTCAGGTGGAGATGAAATTGTCATGTCAACTGGAAAACACAAAATTGAGTTTAATATTCTCCTTCCTATTGGGTAAGGTGGTTGTTGTTGTATAATGCTAAAAAAGTAGGATTTGTTTGAATGTAATGTAACCTGATATTCAATATTTTAATATCTGATTTGAGACCTGATGGGCTCTGTGTGGCAATAAGCTGGAGATATCCAAGACCCAGGCACAGACTGCTTAAAGCTGCTCTGTCACCTTCTGGGGTCTTTGCATATTTTGCAAAAGATCACAGAATGTGACTGCCCTGCTTGCAATGTGGGGTTTACCTGGATCTGCCCCTCCATCTTCTTCCATTAGGTCCTCTTCAGCACCTGGTACTTTTTCTCGCATGTGCAAGAGTACTACACCGATGTCTATGGCACATCCCACTAGGATCCTCCAAATAAAAAGCCTTTTTGCCCTGAAAGCTTTACAGTGGTAGTTCTGCCTTTTTGTCAAGCATATGATAAAATAGTCCGTAACTCATGATATGACATCTGTTTAGTGAAATTCCAACACAGTCTTTATGAGCATTTTATGAAATACAGATATTTTTAAATGTATTTTTTATTTTTGGAGGAGGTTGACAGTCTCTTTAAAATATGCTGCTAAGCATAAATAGCTCTATTGTATGGCTCCCTGCAGGGTCTGCCTTCACCAGGCCAGGCTGGACAGGCAGCCTGGTGTGCATTCCATACAGCCTGATCTGCCAACTCTTTTGGTGATCCTGCACACTTTTTGGGAGGTCTGCCTTTTTGGGCAATCGTGTCACGGGACTGCCCTCTTGCCCGCCTCCATCAGCATTTCAATTCACAGGATGCCCTGAGTTGGGAAGTATGCACTAAAAGACATGGAGCATACTATGCTACAAAATTGAGCAAACATAGAGATTTATTCATTTACGTCCAAACAGCTCATTCTACAGTTTGCTTTGTAAAACCCATTTTGGTTATTCACAAAAGCCAAACCGTTATTCCAACCATATCTGTACTGATTTTTTATTATAAGGAAATTAGGATAAGGTTCAAATACAGTTAAACTGTTGTTTGCCTGGATCTATTTTCAAATGAATCTCAATAATACATTGAGATCCAACTGAAAAATGTTCTTCAGCTAAATGTAGTTTCAGTTCCGTTTTATAATGAAAAACCTGAACCTCAGATACATTTTATTGAGCAGAACTACGCTAAATGGAAGTGACCAGAGTTGACAATTTGGCATTTTGTGAATAGACCCCTAAGTCTTCTGACCTGTATGTCACTTTTTGAAATATGAGTGGCATGGCTCAATTTAGCTGAATCCCCATGCTTTCTGTTTACCTTATGTGAATCCTGTTTATTGACCGTGAGGACTGTGAAAAATTAAGTACAATCCCTCCCATGACCATCTGCTTATTATCTTTAATCATTATTAATAATTTTATTTATTTTAAAGACTGCTACCATTTTATTGTTTAAAGCCCCCTATCTGTAACAGTATATGACCATCTGTCTTTGTATATATATAAAAAAAAAATTATATATTTTTTGTGATAATAACCATAATAAGTATTATCAATGATGATCAAAGAGCTTCTTTCCCCCTGCAGCGAGTGTTGGATGAATATGGACGAATGATGTAGAAGTGTTACTTCTGTGTTCTGTAAGCAGCTGCGGCTGTCCTTATGGTTCTACATCCGTAGGTCCCAGATCCATGTGTGTTTAGATGGTTTTACACACAGGGCGAACACAATATATTGGGAATGATAAAAAGGAACACATTATATAACCTGCTTGCAGACACTTCCACACACACCATACTCACTCTTCAAACTCTGGCTTATATCTAGGCCATAGATACTTCAGTCCATAATGAAAATATCTCAGTCAGTTATTTCGGGCCTGGACGCAAACAGAAAAGGCCATGCACAACTCTTGCTTCACTTATTCAGTACTGCCAGCAGATATCCCAACATCACTTTCACTGGTTTTACAGAGGAGAAATGGTGCTCTGAGGCTGCAGCTGAGAAACCCTACATGCTAGTGGCCCATAAGCAAATGCCCTCATCCCTCCTCCCTATCTCTCCCCTGGCTCTGAAAACCTAGACGATCCACTTCTGCATTATATGTCCAAATCCATCCAAACATGAAATCCGTTATTTTTTGGGAGGGGGGAGGGATTGTTTTAAGTTTCCAAGCTTGATTGAAACAGTAGATCAGCCAATAGTTACCCATTGTGAGGCTGTTTAAGAGAAATTGATTAATCATGTAAAACTAACATTTTGACATTGCCCCCGTGTGTGTTTTGTGGAAAATCAGACCTCTTTCTTTTTGTAATGTGTATGCTTTTTGTAATGTGTCTGCTTCTCCCATTTCTAGAGAAAAAAAAAACTGTGTGCATTGTGTTTTATGTCTGATAAACAATGGTTTAGAAATTGAAATACTGTTATAATTGTGTTTTTTTATTTTTTTTATTTCTGTATTTCAGACATTTGGTTACAACATTTGCTGGTAAATATGGTAAAATCTATTACCAGTTTACAGCAATTTTGGAAAGACCTTCAGTGCCTCTTCAGTGTGTTCACAGAGAACTTCGTGTTATCAGTCACATTGATGTGAACTCTCCAGCTTTTCTTGTAAGGACAAAGTAACTGAATGAAACTTGTTATTTTTATTATTATTTGTCTCTTATTTCTTTTTTTCTCTTTTGAAATCCAACACCTTTTATAGATGACTTGATTTCATTTCTATTTACCTTGCTGTAACAAGTACTTCTATCAGTCTTGCATTTTATATTTGTACTATAATGTATGCAGGTGTTCCAATTTGTTCTATTAGCGGTACATCACGAAACACCATTTACAGAGAAGGCTGCATTTGTAAGGCTTGCTGTCCTAAACGTGAATAATGACAGCTGCAGAAGACATAATTATGTGAGACTTATTATTAATCATTGCAGGTCTGCTATCTAAAGCAGACCATTATATGTCACGTATCCTTCCATTTTTCATCCCATTTTCTAACACTAAGTAAGTGTATGCAGCTGCTACTAAAATCCTTTCAGCTATCATGCCCTAATGGCAAATTTGATCACATTAAAGCATTGAACTCCAATAATCACTGCAAATATATAGTATGGCAGGGAGGATCAGAGCATAAGTAACAACGCTGTGGCGAGATGTGGAGCTAATGAGCGTTATTCTTTTATCTGCACCCATTTTATCAAAATAATATACAATTATACCTTGCACTTTTGTGACAGCTATACAGGAGCCTAATGGTTCAGTATTTAAATATGAATGATATCATCATAGAGAATACGCTGGCAATTGAATCTGATTTTAACAACACCAATTTGACTTAGATTTTGTTTTTGGGGGGTCGGAATGACAGAATTCTGCAACTTCCCAAAGTCTAGGAGTTTTAAGCAGAAAGGAATGCCAAGAGCCTCTTCACATCACATTATCCCTGTCATAGTGCACACTTGTACTCCGTGTAAAATATTTCTGGGTTAAACTTTTATGGTCAGAATTTGTGACTTGGCTATTTACAGATATTATCTAAAAAAAATATATATCATTACAGATGAAGGTTTTCCCGTTTTTATGTAGCTCCAAACATTTTCGATACATTTACTGGAAATGTGTGTGTGTGTGTGTGTGTGTGTGTGTGTGTGTGTGTGTGTGTGTGTACAATCCGTAAACAGTATTGATTTTGATACAAACTGTCTGACACAAAACTGTATTTCTAGGCTCCAGTGCGCAGATCCAAAGAACAAATGGTTGGTTGTTGGATCTTAACATCGGGTCCAATCGCTTTAAGTGCCAAAATTGGAAGACTGGCATATTGTAATGGTAGGTGTATGTTCCTAGGAGTAGAACGTTCTTTCTTGTATTCTAAAAAGCAAAAATTTCTTCATACTTACCGCAATGCTTCTTACCTTCCATGGCAGCATTACACTTGGGTTGCCGCTCCTCCCTCAGCTACTTAGCACTCACTACTTACTGTATAGTAAGTAAAGTAACTTCTTGTAAAAGTATATTGTGTTTCTTTATTGGGTGGTGGTGCCTTTTTTTCTATGTATACCCTTTGAAAGCTTCCAAATATAATCACACCTTCCAACATTTCAAATAGACAAACGTAGTGAGTGGGGGTATGGTCAGAGGCAGGGCTGTTCTGAGAAAATGTAGGTGACTTACTGATAACGATTTATGCAAATAAAAGTTAATTTAGAACCAGAACAATGTATTGTATTTACTCAGACTGATTTCTAAGAACATTTATTGTATTTAAAGACACATTACTGTGACTATTAGTGCTGTGGAGCTCTGTTATACACTCAGACACATTAACAGTATGGAGATCCTAGATAGGGACACTTGGGAGGTATGAAATATTTTCAGTATGTGATACAAAACTACTGTATTATAGTTGGTAAACATTGGAGGCAAACTATTTTTATTGTCATCTTGGCTATGTTTCTGTATATTTATGTTATGCATTGGTTGACAGTGGTGTATGGAATTTGAGCCATGCAATTTTAGAATTCTCTTTTTGATTATTATTATTTTTAAAGCGCCAACAAATTCCACAGAGCTGTGCAATAGGTGTTCTAACAGAGAAGTATTTGCAACAAGAAGAGTTGGACACACAGGAATAGAATGCAGCTGAATACAGAATCTGTGACGTTTAACTGAAATATAGCTGTGTGAATTGGAGCTGTTGTTTTTGAGCTTATATTTAGCTGTGGAAGTTCCAGTGCCATGTGTATCAATAGAACATGTATGACAAATTCAGCATCTGCCCAATTCAACTAATTTATAGTTGTGTGGATTGTTCTGAGTTTCCGTGCAATGTGTGAGCAAAAGAACAGTTATGATTACCTGGAGCTTAAGGTAAAAATTGGTTCCATGTAAACATGTTCTACTAAAGTTGTATAAAATGGTTCTATAAAAACATGTTAATGTGAGAAGATAAGAAAGTCCACAGTAATTTTAATGATTTTATGTATTTTTTTTTTTTTTTTTTTTTTTTTTAACCATACACCATTTATCTCTAAAATGTTATTTTTAGGAGAAGCTATTCCAATTTATGCAGAGATTGAAAATGGTTCATCTCGCTTGGTGGTCCCAAATGCTGCCATTTACCAAACTCAAAAATTCTTCAACAATGGCAAGTCAAGGACATTTCGGCACATGGTAGCCAGTGTTAGAGGCAACCACATTGCTTCTGGAAGTACAGAGCTATGGAATGGAAAAATGCTTAAAATTCCACCTGTCACTCCTTCAATCCTAAACTGCAGCATTATCCAAGTGGAATATTCTCTAGCAGTGAGTATGTTGCTTAATATAGGAAGTAAAATAGCGGCTATCAGTATTTCTGATATAGTAACAAAATGTTATTTCTGATTACTGAGCTTGTGTTGTTAGTCTAGTACAATGTTATTATTATTGGTATTTATACAGCGCCAGCTTATTCCGTAGCGCTTTACATTAAAAGGGGAATTTAAATGAGACAATAATGAAACGTTACAGGAACAATAGATAGATGAGGACCCTGCTCAAACAAGCTTACAGTCTAGAGTCTACATGCAATAAATGAGACTCTGTAAAATTAGCACAATATTGCAATTGTAAAATTAGTAATCATATAGACTACTAAAACTGTATATGCTAAATTTCCTTATCCGTGAGTTAATTATTTTATAAGAGGCACTTTCTTGTTCATGCTGGATAGTGTCCAATCAATTTCTTCATAAAAATGCATTATGCATATGTTTAGAACATATGGACCATATACAAATCGATATGGGTAAAAAAAATATATATATATTTTACTGGATCTCTTACAAGTTTGTAGGATCTAAAATAAAATATTCATACTGTGATGGGAGGTATCCTCTGATAGTGCAGACAAGTATCCAGGTTTGAAAGATTTGTTGCTTCTTCCTGTGGAGTTTTGGTTTCTATTTTCTTTGTCTAATCTCACATTGGAGGCTGCTTGTCTGTAGCAGGAAATAAACAGAGCTGGAGATAAGAACTATGATAATGAACAGATATTTTTCAGGAAGTGTTGCGGGAGGTTGTTTTAGTGTTTTTGATGCTTAGGCTGATCCTTTGAGTCTTATGGTTTTGTGGGGGTTTTCTTTCCTTTTGTAGGTGTATATTAATATTCCTGGTGCCAAGAGGCTGATGGTAGAACTGCCTTTAGTTGTCGGTACAATCCCATTCAATGGGTTTACCTATAGAAACTCAAGTGTTGCCAGCCAGTTTCCTGTCGACATGAGCTGGCTTGCCATGACACTGCCAGATCAACCAGAAGGTAGGAAAGCGTCAGATGTCTTTCTCTGTAAAAATGAAATTCTATACTATGTTCTACTTTAAAGGATAACCTTGTGAAGCGTATAAAGGAATGAAAGTAGCTGTTCTAGAGATTATTGACATAAATAAGTCATATTGCCTTGGTTTTATTGTCTCTTCCAGCACCACCAAACTATGCAGACATAATGACTGAGGAAGATCTTTCCAGAAACGCAACCTTTGGTACAACATATGATGACTTGGCAAACCTGTTTCAAAGCCCCCCATTTTTTGCAATGCAGGAGTTCCTGTTCCAGCCTCCACCCCTTTATTCTGAGGTAAATGGCACCCTCTAATTTAGGATATATGGTTGCACTTTGTTTACATTTACGTATCCTCTGTTTGCAACATTTAAATTATCTTGTGAACTTTTGAGCAGCAGGCAATCATTCTCATAACTGAAAGAATAAAAGGCCTAGAGAGAGAAAAAAAATAGGGTAATAAGTGTACCTATAACGACAGGGAAGGCATAGGCAGGTTATGTAATTGGCAAATAACTTAATAACCGGCTCTCCTCCATAGAAAGGAAAAAGCTCCTCCAAAAAATTGCCTCTATGCAAATGTCACATCACAGCTGGGGCATCAAAGGGAGGAGCATAAGATTAGCTCTGACTTGTTTCGTGCCTTTACTGCCACTTCATTAAAGATAACTTTGATGAAGTGCCATCAAAGGCATGAAATGCAAAAGGGTTGATCTTCTGTTTCTCCCTTTGCATGTCCCAGCTGTGATGTGAAACTTGTGAAGCAGTTAAAGTAAAAGTGTCAATGATGTGATATTTTATCTCCATTGTTTCCATTTTGCTGTAATCCAGCAAGGTTAAAGAACACTAAGGGCACCATAACAATTTAATCTTGTTTTAGTTGATGCATTCCGCCTATCACTGGAGCATGTTCACTATCTGGACCACTTTGTGGGTTAAACAGTTTAGAGCGGCACTGTCATGCCGAACTTACCTTTCCCCAATCGATTCCTCTTCTCTCCCTCTCTCAGGATCTGTTACTCATTTCTTCCTGTCTGCTCTAGTTTTCTTTTAAAAATTAAGACAACGAAGGGACTGTTTCTCTTCTGGAGGTTTCCTACGCCATGACCAGCGGAGGAGCAAAGTGTGCTTCGTTTCCGGTGGTCAGAGCAATTTTCCCATAATCCTTAGCTTTCCTCCCTGTTCCCGCGATGCTTCCTGTCCGTATTGCCGAACGTCCTGTCACTTAGACAGAACGCCAGCAAAACTGCCGAATTGTGTCCTAACAGAATGAGAACAGTTTCTCCATTCGTGTTAGAATGCAATTCAGGACTTTGTTCGGATCGCAATTTCATTAGAATGAATGAAACTCCGATCCTATTCGTGCTGTGGCTGCATCTTGCAGCCGCTTAGTAGAAAACTCCCTAATTCCCACAGTAAGATCAGAGTGCTCTGTGTCATTTTACACAGCGTGGGAAAGTTCTTTGTAATTTTCCACGCTGTGTAATTTGACTCATAACAAAGTTCCAAACAACGTTCCTACGCTGTGTAAAATGACACAGAGCACTCTGATTGGTTAGATTCCAAGCCCCCCAATCAGAGTGTTATGAGTCAAATTACACAGCGTGGGAAAATTACAAAGAACTTTCCCACGCTGTGTAAAATGACAAAGAGCACTCTGATTGGCTTAAACCAACCAATCAGAGTGTTCTTAGCCTAATTGCAGGGTGGGGCAAGGCTTTATAAGCCTTCCCTGCCCTGCAGAGCACAGATTGCGCGGAGCCCTCCATGGGTAGAGATGGATTTTTTTTTTGGTTTTTTTTGCATCAGGTTTTTTCTTTTTTGTGCTTGCATTTTTTATTTTATTTTAAGTTCGACGGGTATGATGTTTTTTTTTTAATTTGGCCTTTTTTGCGGCTTAAAAATTAAGATTTTAGAAGAAAGAAGACCTCAAATAGTAAGTTTTTTGTTTTTATTTACAGGTTAGTTATTTTATTCCCTCCTCACTATTTTTACGGTGAGGGGTGTAGGAAGAGGAAAGCTTTTATTTGGGGTGGGGGGGGGTGACTAGGGTCTTGGGGACCCCTAGTCACCTTGGAAGGGGGGTTTCATTTAGGGCCACCGTTTAGGGGTGGGGGCCGGGGGGAAGGACAGTAGATCCCACCCCCCACATTCTTATTTATGGCCCCCACCCACCCACCGCTCAGGGGTGGGGGCCGGGGGAGGAGGATGACAGTAGACCCCCCCCACACTAATTGTTATTTAGGGCCCCCACCCACCGCTCGGGGGGGGGAGGACAGTAGGTTCCCCCCCACCACCACCACTATTGTTATTTAGGGCCCCCACCCACCGCTCAGGGGTGGGGACTGGGAGGGGAGGACAGTAGGTCCCCCCCCTCCCCCCCCCCACTCATTGTTATTTAGGTCCCCCCCCTCATTGTTATTTAGCGTCCTCACCCACCGTGCAGGGGTGGGGGGAGGACAGTAGGTCCTCCTCCCACGTTCTTATTTATGGGGAATAGATTTTTCTTTATTTTAATTTTTTTTACATTGGGCAGCCAGACATGCCCCTACTTGCGGTATAGCGAGCAGAGGCTGAATTTACTAATACTAAGTAATCTTTACTTAGTATTAGTAAATGTGGCTGAAAGACCAATTTAGGTGTTTCAGTCTTTTGGTAGATAGCTCCCTAATACCATGGGAATTAGGGAGTTATCTACTAAGCGGCTGCAAGATGCAGCCACATCATGAATAGGATCGGAGTTTCATTCATTCTAATGAAATTGCGATCCGAACAAAGTCCCGAATTGCGTTCTAACACGAATGGAGAAACTGTTCTCATTCTGTTAGGACGCAATTCGGCAGTTTTGCCGGCGTTCTGTCTAAGTGACAGGACGTTCGGAAATACTAACAGGAAGCATCGTGGGAACAGGGAAGAAAGCTGAGGATTATGGGAAAATTGCTCTGACCACCGGAAACGAAGCACAATTTGCTCCTCCGCTGGTCATGGCGTAGGAAACCTCCAGAAGAGAAATAGTCCCTACTTTGTTTTAATTTTTAAAGGAAACTAGAGCAGACAGGAAGAAATGAATAACAAATCCTGAGAGAGGGAGAGAAGAGGAATCGATTGGGGTAAGGTAAGTTCGGCATGACAGTGCCGCATTAAGTTTCACCCCCTTAAGAAAAGACAGTCAGGATCTCCAGATACAATAACAACTCAATTGAAATAAATTATTTTGATGCTTGGAGTGTTCCTTTAAGCAGCTGCAATGACCGGACAATCCAATATGGCACCAGCTCTACATGCTGACCAGGGTTATATGGTGGGGCAACATTCCCATCAAAAGAATAAACTGTCTTTAATAAATTAATATTATTTGTAAAGTATTACAGTAAGCTGTATGATTGCTATATCAGGTCTTGTGGTTGTTTCTAATATATTGACCAGGCTCTACTATAAATGTTTTTGAACAAATATGCATTTTCTATACATAGGTTGATCTACATCCCTGCCCCACAATGGAAAGACAAATTGCCTCATTTACATTAGAAGAGTGACAACTGAAAAAAAGTTTCTTCATCTGCACATTTATCCACTGGAAATATGTTTTTATAAATGTGTAGTTTCATAAGTTGCCTGTACAGAACATGTGTCCATAAAAACTCTGTGAAGAAGGGAAAAAATAAATAATATATATATATATATATATATATATATATATATATATATATATATATATATATATATATATATATATATATATATATATATATAAAATATTCAAATACTTGCACTCCTGTAGAGATAGATTAATGCCTGGTGCTAATAAAGCAAATAACATAAAAATAAAAATGGTAGGTAACAGCACTCTAAGGACTTCAAAAAGTAAATTCACCATTTACTTTTTGAAGTCCTTAGAGTGCCATTTTTATTTTTATATATATATATATATATATATATATATATATATATATATATATATATATATATATATATATATATATATATATATATATATATTTTGCAGGGGAAGGGGGCAACTGTTTCCCACTTCACTTAAATAAAAACAGGTTATTCACTAAAGTGAGAATTCAAGTGAATTTCAAATTTAAGAAGAAAATAGCCAAATTGTAAAAAATCACTAAGCCAGCATTGCTGGCAGTTCAGCTGTTTTGGTCTTACGTTTTATTTACTTTGATTTATCACTTTATTGAATTACCCTGAACAAAGCAAGCAAGCAAGCATGAAGTTTATAGTTTGTTTGTTTTTTTTTTTTTTGTTTTTTAAATGTTGAAATACAGTGTAAGCTGATTTATTTTGTTTTTATTTTATGAATGTACTTTATTACTTTGCTATTGAAATGGAGAACAATGCTAAGTGAATGTCTCCACAAAGCACCTTTCCGAAGAAAAAATGCCAAATGCAGTCTACTTTAGCACAGCTGTCGAAGACTCCAAGTAACATAATCACTACATCTTACAGTAGTAGTTATGGTTCTGGAAATACCCTATTTCCCACCAAATATTATTTAATAAATGTTTTAGAATTGTTTGACTTCTTACCTGGGATCCTGCAGGCACTGCTCTCTGCAGCCTCCAAGAGGGTTTAGCTCAGGAAGGCTAACAGAAGCTCCTAGTAAGAACGTACAGCTGCCCTGCATGCTGGAGAGTAGTGGGGAGCAGGATCCCAAGTAAGAGGTCAAACCATTCTAAAAGCTGCTTGACTATTTTTATATTTGGCGGGCTTCAGGACACTCCTGGCACCATAACCATTACGGCTTGTGCTTATGGTGCTTGGAGTGTTGCTTTAACTAATGCTCAAAAATAAAAAAAACAGTTGATGCAACTATGTAGCAAATTACTCACTGATCATGTGAAACTAGCAAAGGGAAACCTTTAAACTGTGATTTGTGTTATGATGTTCTGTATTGTTCCTACAGTCCTAAAATGTAAAAAGTAAGTGGTACCACTGAGCACTAATATATTAAATGGACACTCAGGACTCCTAAAGAACTGTAGCTTGCTGAACTTCTTTACAAAAAGTGTAGGTTTCAATAGAAACTGGCACTTTTATAAATGTAATCTGGTTATACCCACCTGGCTGTCAACCAGAGAACTGTTACTTCCTGGATTTGTTTTGGTCAGTGGAGCTAAACCCAAGAGGCAGTCAATTGCTCAGAGGATCAGCTTTGTAAAGACTTATTTGAACTGCATTAGGAAGTCTGTAATCGGACTGCCACAGAAAGTCTGTACTGGGGAAGAAGGAGTGGGCTTGCAAAGTCTTCAGACAACTGCAACTTTTGCTAACTGTTTAAATATACCCACAATCAAAAAATGCATCAATAAATGTGTGCGTGTTTTTCATTTGGGGTATGCTTACTAAACTGTGATTTCTATTTTTGTTTTTTATTTTGGCAGTGAAATGTTCCTATAAATTCTATTTTTTTTTTTTCCAGGCTTTCTAAAAATGTGGTTGTTTGTATATATATATATGTGTATATATATATGTGTGTGTGTGTGTGTATATATATAATTTTTTTTTTTTTTTCAATTGCTTGAGTCTTAATATAACCAGTTTTAGCACTTTCTTGCTTAAGATAATATTTGCATGGTTATGTGTAAATTTTTGAATTTTTCAGGTTTAAAAATGATTTTTTATAAAAAATTTTTTTCAAAAAAGCAAACCCATTTATCCTTCAAGGGACATGTGAAGAAGTTGACCACCATTTTTAGTGCATTAGTTACACAATTCAACAAGTAAATTTAAAGTAACAAAAGGAAAAATACTTCCCTTTTAATGTTACTATAATAGTAACATTTGTGTTGCCACAGATAGATCCCTCCCAGACAAGGAAAGAAAATTACTAGCCTTTCATTCTAAAACAATATATATCCATTAAATTCCTACTGGAATGGTGTTTAATGGACAGTTCAGCTACTGAATAAGCTAAAGCAGCTGTACCTGCTGCTATCAGTTTATACACAGTCCAGTTTACAGCTCTTGTGCAGTGATCGCCTAAGCCTTCAACTGAGCATGTGTACAGTGCTGGCTTGGCATTTATCCAGAGCCATAGATGTGTGGAAAGAGTTGTCTGTCCAGGCGCTGTGTATGTGCTTGTCAGTTGCAGAATTAAAATAACTCCTTTGACTTCATTGATCCAGGGACAAGCTTATAGCTATAGTTATAAGCTTGTGTGTGCTATTACAGTGTGGTGGGGTAACTCTGTGCACAATAGCATTTACTATGATGCCAGGTTCTTACGGTGCCTAGAATTACCCTTTGAGCTATCTGTTTAAAGTGCATTATTAAAAGCACAATTCATTTAAAGGTGAATGTGATGAGTTGACCCAATATATCTCAGTTATGCTATTTTATGTAGCATTTTAAAGGAGCAGAAAAGTGTGTGTGTGTATATCTATATCATTAACCTGTACATCTACATTTTGCATTGTTGCCTGTGTGTGTATATGTAAATATGATATATGATGTGAAATATTTTTTTTTTTTTTTTTTATAGCAACAGAGAGAAAGTGTTTTCTGGTGTGATGAGCTTCTTTGCATAACACAGCTTTTCAGACTCCACCCTTTAGCAAGTCATTGCTAGTATAGGACCTTGATAACCGCATTAATATCTGATCTGTAACTTGATCTCCCACATACCATTAAGGACCATATACAGGGTTAATGCCAAAGTGATTAACAGTCAAAATAGATATTACGATGACTTCATTCTAATGGTATTGTAATGCCTCGTTTCCACTGAGCGGTACGGTTTGGGTCAGTACGGTTCGGAAGGGTTAGAATGATCCAGCCTATTCTGGTGAGCGTTACCACTGCAAGTTGGACCGCCAGGGGGATGCGGGGTTTAGACCAAATGCCTAGCGTGTCATTTGTCATGAGCATTGATGTTTTCCTGTCCGCCAATCAATGGATTGTACAGTACCGTACTATTTCCTATAGACCTACATCTAAAGGGGGCCCAGGAATGGTGCGGTTTTGTTCGGTTGTATGGGCCATTTTTATAATGGAAACACTCAAAATAGTGAACCAGACCGTACCGAACCGTACCATTCCATAGAAACAGGGCATAACATACCAAGATGAGTCACTGTATCTGGATGTCTGCATTTACAAAAATCAAAAACCGACAACAAGCTCGCTATAAAGTGATCTTTAAAATTAAACGCCTTTTATTTCAGTGATTTAAACCTGTCATCATCAAAACACCTGGTTGACAAGGTTTTCTTCAGGTCTTCATACATTTACTTTGTTTTGGCAAATTATTCAGGAAATATAAATGAACTTACCTGAAGATTGTGTCTGCCAAAATGGCCTGCACAACTGTGTGGGCACCTACCCTCTGTAAATGGCACACAGTTTATTGGTCAAATAGGAGCACTATAGAAAGGTATACTGTGTTAGTCATGTCTTTAAATTGTTTTATAAAAGGCAAATGTATTTCTGATTGTGAATGAAGCGGATTTCCTTTCCTCCTTGTCATTTATGACCTATGTCAATCTTGTAAGCAATTTGCTTCCTGTTTAGTTAAACTTAAACTGATTTACTTTTTAATTTAAGGCCAGAGTAGCCAAACTGAAAGCATAGCCGACTTAGAGGATTTTTCCAGTTCAGCCATTTTGGTCTCAGATTTAAAATTCACTTTGAATTCTCACTTTAGTGGATAACCCTGTACAGTTTCTGTTTGCGTCCAATTCAGTATTTTCCTTTATATTGCTTTTTAAAAAAAAAAAAAAAAAAACAGAGAGGACAGAAAAATCAGGTCATTGAAATACTTCTCTGCTCCTAAGACAAAACTGGGGAACACCCAGGTTTTGGTGTTCTGCAGTCATGAAGTTGACCGGTGCTAGCTGCTCAACTATTGTATCAAAGTGCCTTAAGGAACACTCACAGAGAAAATAGTCAAACTGTTTGACAACTTACCTGAGTCCTGCTGGCCACCCACTGCCACCTCCTCTGCTTCCAGAAGCTTCTGTCAGGGCGCCGCACTCTCAGCCAGTGAACACAGTCCTGTACAGCCGAGCTTATCTTAAGGCAGCAGTGTTTGCACAGGTAACTTTTAAAACTTTTTTTAAAGGGTTACTCCAGTCTCCATAATCACTTCTGCTTTTAAGAGTGGTCATGGAGGAAGCAATCTTAATACTTAAAACGCTGCACATACAGAGATATTTGAAATTTTGTGCAGGAGGCTAGTTACATCCCTGCCACGCATTCCATTTTGCCCAATGTTAAATCTGTGCAAATATGTTCGTCGTCAGAGACATCATGAGCTTCTACCATTGCAGGCATCTCTGAAGTTCACCTACAAGGGGAAAAGTGTATCTCAGATCCCCCTCTCATTTAAGTCCTCCCTATAGACCTAATTTTTTTTTTTTTTTTATTCCTCTTGGCTCAGAGCATGCACATGCACTATTAGCCAGTGAGAACAGTCTAATGAAATGCTTCTCTGTTAAATGCATTTGAAAGGACCATGTTGAGGAAAGAAGTGACAAGATACGGGGCTTAAATTCCTGCAAGTGGAGCTTTGCACGGCACTGGATTACATGGAAAATGTTAATATTATTTCACAGGGATTATTACTAATGCCTAATAGTGCAAATTAAATCTAAATTAAAAAGCAATATTTAAAAAGAGTTGGAGTAACACTTTAAACAGTTTGACTACTTACTCTGGGAGGCTATAGTAGTTATGGTGCTTGGAGTTTTTCCCCTGAGCCGCACAGTTTACAGACCCACACAGTTTAGGGTAAATACTTCTATATTCTGTTATCAACTGTGTTTTTTTTTTAACATTATCTTTATGTAAATTCAAATAAAAAAGATAATGCAAGAAATGTGCAGACAGAGTGGACTGAAGTGGCCATTCCTAAATAACCTTAAAATGGACATTCCTTGTTTGACCATCTTGAACGTTTTAGAGGTTAGCTATAGATCATCGCATTATCCTATATCTGAGCTGTAGGAGATTGCATTGGACTTTGAAGTAGTTTTACATGCTTTGTGCGAATGTGGCAAGAATAATAATAATTTTGCCAAAGAAATAAAAAGTTGTTTATGCAAAAAGAGAATAATGGAATCTAAATTCCATGTATCAAAGTGTGCAGTCAGCATTTGTGCACTTTATAATGATGAATGCTTTTTGCTCCTAAACTAAATTGACATGTATGTGACCCTTTAACCTGTGTGAATATCACTACATGAATTTGAGGGATTTTTGCATATTTTCACCAAGGTAGAGCCCACCTGTTATACAGTGAGGGCTATATCTAACTGTATCAATGTGAGAACTGTAGTTCAGTTCTTATTTGCTAGCTGTATAAGACAAATAATGCCTAAAATCAAATTGTTTACACATCATCTGCAGCAAACATGCATCTTAATTAAAACATATTTTTGTTAACGATTGGTGCAAATTATTTTGCCATCTGTCAATTACTTTACTGCACTATAATTCCGCCATACTGTATTTTACAATATCAGTACCATGTGGAAACAAGTTCAGGGTTTTTTGTTCTCGTCATATCTGTAGACATACAAGGCAGGTTCAAAGCCAAAAATTGCCCACGTGTGTATCATGTTTTGTGCATATTATATATTTGCTCCTCAATGGCAATCAGTATTCTTTATTTCCCATAGAACAGGATAGAATGCCGATGTGGTAGACAATTTGGTTGAGTAATCTAGAATGACAGATCATTTTGAAATGTAAATATTGTTGTTTGAACGTTTTTATGCTATATATCTTTTCCCCTTTGCTAGTATTGTTTCATCAGCTTCGTTTTTATTTTATTTTTATTTTTTACTTTTTTTTCAATGTTTAGGTTCCTCTGGCATCCTTGCTGATGTAGCAAAGTGAATTTCAGGTTCTGAGTTGCTGCTTTATCATTGCTTAATACTTTTAAAATGCCTGGACAGCAGTCCTATTCCAGGGCTCATTCTATCCTACTGTGAATTCAACCAAACTGGCATTTTTCTAGTTGTGAAAATATCATTTGCTATAGAATAATTTTTTTATTTTTTTTATTTTTTTTTTAAACATACAATTTTTCTTTCCTCTATTGGCCAAGGATTCCTCTATTGGCCAAGGAGGATTATTTTAGTAAATGCCAAAGCATAGTAAGTTGGTTTTATATTTTTTTGTGCAAAGTTCTCTTTGAAATATATTTTTTCTTTACTAAAAATTAAAATGCAAACTAAAATTCAAAAGCAAACTCCCTTCCAGTTTGTTACTATAAAGCTATATATACTGTGCCTTCACAAAAACCTTAAAGGGACACTATAGGTTTAAAAACAACTTTAGCTTATTGAAGCAATTTTAGTGTATAGATCGTGATCCTTCAGTCTCACTGTTCAGTTCTCTTTTAGGAGTCTATTTAGGAGTTAAATCACTTTTGTTTCTGTCCATGCTGCCCTAGCCACTCCTCCTCAGCTGTAACTCACTTGAGCAGTAACACTTCAGGGGCATGAGCTATACACCAAAACCGTTTCTCTAAGCTAAAGCTGTTTTCATGCTTCACATGGCCCTTTAATATTTCTTGTAATATAATTCTGATTAAGTGCACTCTAGTTAAAGCATTGTTTATATAGTGTTTTTGTTTTTTCTTACATAATTTCTAATTTTCTGAAAATGAGGCACAGAAAATGGATTTACACGCTTTGCCATATTTAATTATTTTGCAATATGGGAATCAAATAAGCTTTAATGTACATCCCCAGGACTTCCATTTAGGCCATAGAGAGCTGGAGGGGATGAGAGTTAATAACACTCACGGGTATATTTGGTAGTACAATGCACACTGTGAGAGGGCCAGGGAGTTATTACTGTATACGTACTAATGGATGCCTAAGTGCCTGTTGTATATGCTCCCTTTAACTATACATATAGTGACCAGTGGGGGCACAAACCCTCTTGCTATTGAATACATTTATGTCCCCCTTATGCCTTATCCACATGGGAACAATGGCTCTGGTGAAGCTAGATGGATACACAAAATATTTTACTTCATTAAAGGGACACTATAGGCACCAAGACCACTTCATTTAATTGAAGTGGTTTGGGTGCACTGTTCCTGCCCCCTTAACCTGTTTACATTGCATTACTAAGACTGCCTCTTGTGGCTTTCTCGTAGAGACGCTTTCTGCCATTTCACAAGTTTAACTCGTGAAACAATGCTGGACATCCTCACGCTTTGCATGTGAACATTCAGCGTCTTAAAATTTCCCATAGTAAAAACCGTTGATTCAATGCCTTCCTGTGCGTGCGACGATCCCCCTAGGCGTCAACGTTGGCAGAGACGGGCCAGCACCTAGAGATTTTTAATCCTTTAATTGATAGCGTGGACAAGGGAGAAAGGGGCAGAGGGACACTATAGTGTAGGAATACAGTTTTGTATTCCTAACAATATAGTGTTCCTTTTTACATAGTTTAGAGCAAGACATTGTTGCTGATAAGGCTTAAGGACCAGTGGTGGTGGTCATAACAAACCAGCCTTCTAATGTCCTTTTATCAAAATGGAATGTACCACTATTTTAGCTACACCAGGGCGGATAGCTAAATGTCAGTTAAACATTCATGTTAACTTTTTGTTGCAAGTCAGGGCAATTGCATGAGGCTGTATATTTACTTCCATTTCAAAACTGTAGAGGGACTGGAAAGAAAATAGAACACCACAAGGTTGGCCAATGATGTGACGTATAAACCCCTTTATTGACCGGTAATTGTTTAAATTTGTATATCCATTTTTTAATACATACTATAGTATAGTTAAACAAATATTTGAGATGTAATTGTCTGCCAGATATTTTTGCAAAGAGTTTTGAATGTTGATCAAGCTATTACTCTAGAACAGTGGTCTCATAGCACCGATCAGTGATTGTGTAGTTGTTTGTGTCTGTGTGTGTATGTTGGAATAAGTTTTATGTACATGCACATGTCTAGAGACCTGTGGCTCCTATGAGAGATGGACTTGGTTAGTGGCCACCAAGTAAAATGAAATTCAAACACCTGTTCTAGAGACAGATGTTTTGAATCATACTAATAATCTTCAAGATAAGACTATTGGCACTAATGCTTGTGATCAATAAGTATTATAAATGTGTATTTCTTTTTGTACAATTAGTTTGTTACAAATGTTGTCCTTTCCACACAAGGTGGAGGGTTATGTTTTTGTTTGTGTATGACATAATGAGAATTTTGTTCCGATTTTCTGTTGCTTCTACATACTGTTTTGTGTTCTGTTTGCACAGTATGTTCAGTAAGAAAGTTTTTGATAATAATGCATCAATGTGTTCTAATATGATGCTTCTGTTTATTATGAATCCTGTGGGTTCTTCCTTCATGACTAAAAAATAATAAAATTTTAAAAAATGCCTCTGTGAATATCATTGGACAATACAACCTGACTGTAGTCGCATGGAATGTGGAGTGGGGATAGACTTCCAAAATACTGTAGTAAAGCTTGGTTCATACCGGAAAGATACAAACATAAATTGTTATGAGGAATCAAAATTATTTAATTAAATAAACACTTGACATCTTTTCACATCTATTAACACATTCGTGTGATGGCATTTGACTGCTGCAACAGACGCTCTGGTCATTGGTATATGCAGCAAGTAAGAACTGTTATGCATCTTCATAGCAGTGGAGGGACATCCAATTAAAAAATGTAATTCCACCTACACTATTGCTGGTCATATACTGATAGGTATAGATATATACCTACAAAATCCCTGACTTTGTTCAAATATACCTAGAAGCACTGATGTTTTGAAAGCACAGGGTGGTCACACCAAGTATTGATTTGACTTCCATTTTTCCCCTGTTCTCTCACTTTGCATGTTATGTAGTGATAAACATAAGCTATTAAAATTTATTTTTGTAAAATAATTCTTACGTTACATTTTTAACCTGGAAATGACAATAATAAAGGAACTGTACTTAAAATAATATAAAGAGAACACTATTGCATTTAGAGACAACTCGACCTCTTCAATATAAATGAATATTTACCCAAAATACAAAAGCTTATACAAAATAATAGTGAGATCGATTTATACATATTATGTGCGAGGATGGTGAATAGTCCTCTTGCACTCGTCAGAACCAACACTTAACTCTCTCTTTTCTCATATATGAAGAAATCTATAATCTAAGATATATATATATATATATATATATATATATATATATATTCATATTCTTGGGCTTGACATTTCAATCTAATATTTATCAGTGAGGCTGTGCCACTATTGAGTGTGGTAGCTGATTTCAGTCAATCACACTTCAGTAAAATCAAACTGTCCACTTAGGAAGCAACACTGAGTGACAATCAATTTCACATGCTGTTGTGCAAATGGGATAGACGACAGGTGGAAATTATAGGCAATTAGCAAGACACCCCCAATAAAGGAGTGGTTCTGCAGGTGGTGACCACAGACCACTTCTCAGTTCCTATGCTTCCTGGCTGATGTTTTGGTCACTTTTGAATGCTGGCGGTGCTTTCACTCTAGTGGTAGCATGAGACGGAGTCTACAATCCACACAAGTGGCTCAGGTAGTGCAGCTCATCCAGGATGGCACATCAATGTTTGCTGTGTCTGTCAGCGTAGTGTCCAGAGCATGGAGGCGCTACCAGGAGACAGGCCAGTACATCAGGAGACATGGAGGAGGCCGTAGGAGGGCAACAACCCAGCAACAGGACCGCTACCTCCGCCTTTGTGCAAGGAGGAGCACTGCCAGAGCCCTCAAAATGACCTCCATCAGGCCACAAATGTGCATGTGTCTGCTCAAACGGTCAGAAACAGACTCCATGAGGGCCCGATGTCCACAGGTGGGGGTTGTGCTTACAGCCCAACACCATGCAGGACGTTTGGCATTTGCCAGAGAACACCAAGATTGGAAAATTCGCCACTGGCGCCCAGTGCTCTTCACAGATGAAAGCAGGTTCACACTGAGCACATGTGACAGAAGTGACAGAGTCTGGAGACGCCATGGAGAACGTTCTGCTGCCTGCAACATCCTCCAGCATGTCCGGTTTGGCAGTGGGTCAGTAATGGTGTGGGGTGGCATTTCTTTGGGGGGCCGCACAGCCCTCCATGTGCTCGCCAGAGGTAGCCTGACTGCCATGAGATCCTCAGACCCCTTGTGAGACCATATGCTGGTGCTGTTGGCCCTGGGTTCCTCCTAATGCAAAACAATGCTAGACCTCATGTGGCTGGAGTGTGTCAGTCGTTCCTGCAAGACGAAGGCATTGATGCTATGGACTGGCCCGCCTGTTCCCCAGACCTGAATCCAATTTAGCACATCAGGGCATCATGGCTCGCTCCATCCACCAACATCACGTTGCACCACAGACTGTCCAGGAGTTGGCAGATGCTTTAGTCCTGGTCTGGGAGGAGATCCTTCAGGAGACCATCCGCCACCTCATCAGGAGCATGCACAGGCATTGTAGGGAGGTCATACAGGCAAGTGGAGGCCACACACACTACTGAGCCTAATTTTGACTTGTTTTAAGGACATTACATCAAAGTTGGATCAGCCTGTAGTGTGTTTTTCCACTTTAATTTTGAGTGTGACTCCAAATCCAGACCTCCATGGGTTGAAAAATTTGATTTCCATTTTTTTTTTTTTTTTTGTGTGATTTTGTTTTCGGCACATTCAACTATATAAGGAACAAAGTATTTTAGAAGAATATTTAATTCATTCAGATCTAGGATGTGTTATTTTTCTGTTCCCTTTATTTTTTTGAGCAGTGTATATTGAAGAGATAATCTTGTCTCTAAGGCAGTTGTACCCAACCTTTTTTCACTTGAGTACCCCTTGGCAGCCCATTTCCATAAATTGTACCCCTCATATTAGCAAAATGTTAGTTATTAATATAGCTATTTCCTGTTTTTCTGCCCTAGGCTCCCTCTGCTTCTCCTCTGCCACAGGCTCTCCCTGCTTATCATTGTGCAGATAGACACACTGACACAAAAGCAGATACACAGACACACAAACTGACACATGTGCAGATATACAGATACAAACACTGATAAAGACACACAAAAACACAGATACAAACACTGACACATACAGTTATAGACACAGTTACAAACACTGATACGTTCAGATACACACACTGACACATGCAGATAGACACACAATGAAACATGTAGATACTGACACACATGCAGGTGCACAAACACACTAACACACATGCAGATACACAGATACAACCACTGAAACACACTGACACATGCAGGTACAAACACATAGATACACATACTAAAACATACAGATGTACATACACAGATACAGATTACAGACGCACAGATACACACACACACACACACACACGCACATACAGATAGGCACATACAAATACACAGAGAAAGATACACATACTGACACACAGATGTGCAGACACACACTTTCATACATGCAAATACACAGATGCAAACACTAACACACATACAGTTGCAAAGACACAGATGCAAATACAGACACACATACAGTTGCACAGATACACACTGATGCACATACTGATACATACACTGATGCACATACATATACACACACTGACACACACTGGTGTACAGATACAAAACACACACAAGTCACAATTCTAGACACCCTCTGGTTTCTTACCTTGTAGATGCTGGAGGGTGGCTTCCATGGCTGAGGCTGATGGGTGAAGAGTCTTGCTCCTCCTTTCCCTCCCTCCCACTGCTCCTGTGCAGCAGATTCTATGTGAGCTGGGATCACTCCGTGTATTTTAGAAGGAGCCCGGTCACGCTATTAAAGGGCCACATCACACGACCAAGCCTCTCTTGGCACATGTCAATGGACCTTCACCTTTGCGGTGGAGGCCGGCACCGCTGCCATTACCGATGTTTTTTTTTGTTTGTTTTTTTTAATATATATTTATTTATATATTCGCATACCTCCAGGGGCACTGGATTGTATCCATGGGGGTACGCGTAACACAGGTTGAGGAACCCTGCTTTTAGGGCATAAGTATTCTCTATATTTGTAAGCACAGTTCCTCTATTTTTGGTGTTTTTATGCTTTACAGTTTGGTTGTATTTGGGGAATTGTTAACCTAGAGATTAAGTTGCTGCTTTGTATTATAACGTCTCATTTATGTATCGCTGTGATTTTGTTTTTTTATCATTTTTTTTAATACCTGCCTGATACCTTTGCTATATTATATATTCTCAGTTATTCACTTAGAAATACACCAGTAGGCTATGGACAACATGCATATTGGTTGACAAGACAGTGCTGTTCCAAAGATAATTTGTTAAATGTAAACTGACAATGAAAGAATCTAAATGACCTTGCTACAAGACCTGCGTTTGTTGTGTAGCTATGGCCCTGTAACAGTAATGTACATATCAGCTGTCAATCCACATGTCAATTCTATCTATTGTATATTCTTATTTGTATATATAAATGCATAGTCATTCCGTGTAATTTTAAGTTATGAAAACCCTAGTTTAAAAAGAACCCAAGGGTCTGACTTTAGAGAAAGATATGTGCTAAGGTATTGGAATTATAAGTTTCACTCACACAAGGCAAACATTTCAAGCTATTGTTAAAGGATTACTATAGTGTCAGGAAAACAAAGCGGTTTTCCTGACACTATGGTGCCCTCAGGGTGCCCCCACCCTCAGGGTCCCCCTCCCGTGGCGCTGAAGGGGTTAAAACCCCTTCCGCCACTTACCTTAATCCAGCGCCGGGCTCCCTCGACGCTGGTGACCTCTCCTCCCCATCTGACGTCAGCTCCCCCGTCCGACGTCACTGGAGCTTGCCGCGCGCGCATTCAAAGTGTCCATAGGAAAGCATTTCTCAATGCTTTCCTATGGACGCTCTGTACAATGGAGGCGAAATTTTCCTCCAGCGTCGCAGATGCGCCTCTAGTGACTGTCCGGAAGACAGCCACTAGAGGCTGGATTAACCCCAAATGTTGAGATCCCCGTCTCTTACATGTGATCATATAATATAGGAAGTAAATTGTACTATACTTTACCAATGTTATATGTTTCTGAAAGTCCTGATCATATTTATAAATGTACAAATTTGGTTATCCTTTTTGTCCATCTTTGATAGCTGAAGCTGTCTAGGTTATCTAATATTTTCAGCATTTGCAAAACTAGTGCGCAATATAATAAATGAATGATTCTTAAGTTATTGATTGACACATATTCCCATACATGTGTTATGGGTTATTTAAAGTATAATTATTTTAAAAAGAAAATGTAAAATTGAATCCAAAAAAGCTAAATTTAAAATTAGAGTTGGAAGCAGGGCCAGTGCAAGGATTCTTCTGGTCTCTCTCTTTCTCTCCCTCTCTCCAGGTGGTTTCTCTTCTACTCTTGACCTACAATTAGCAATTATCATACAAATTTTTAGCAAGTTTCAGTTTTGTGAATAAACTTCTGAGGACAACTGAAAGTGTTATTAAATTGAGGAATTACACATCA